AGTCCCCTATCTACGCAACTGCCCTTCTCCTTGATCCGTCGAAGCGAGCGCGATACCTTGAAATAAACTGGAAGGGAGAATGGGCCGAGGCTGCCATTAGGGACGCACTTTCGATATGGGAGGAAGAATACAAGATGGCGCCCACCCTCGGACCTGCCCAGGCGCTGAGCGAAGCGTTTAGGTCGCAGCAAGGGCACTCAAACGAGCTTGATCGGCTTCTGAACGAGATTATGGTCGCCGAGGACATAACCAGGGACGTAGACGACTTCGAAAACTTTATCCACAACAAGCCGATAAAGATCGAAGGCTCTCCGCTGGTCTGGTGGTGTCAGAGGGATCAGGTTCGGACATATCCGCGTCTCAGTCGCATGGCCATCGACATCTTGTCTGTGCCCCCTGGTTCTGCTGACCCTGAGTCTGCATTCAGTGGAGGAAGACGCACTTTATCATGGGATCGGGAAAGGATGTCATGTGTTAATCTGGAGAAGGTTGAATGCATCGGCAACTGGCTGCGTGAAGGACTCATTATACCATCATCACGTGGTGGTAGAGGGCTTGTTGTGGACGGTGAAATAAACGGCAGTGTTCATGTTGATTCGGATGATGATCTAGATTAGAATTGAATGAAATATTTACCTTTAAGCTTAGACATATCTGTCGTCATATCATCTCTGCTAAAGCTGCTAAAACTCCTAGACTGATATCATCTCTGCTATCCTGCTAAGCCGATATCATATCAGGATAGTGTGTTATCCTGATATCAGGATAATTTATCATATCGGATATGATATCAGGATAGGCAAGTCTGGTTTACAGGCAGATCGAAAGAGACAACGCTGGTCAAGGGAAAGCCTACACCGGTGGGCTTCAAAGTCTGGGTTATCGCCCAACAGGGCTTCTTTCTTCGGTGGCTTTGGCACGTGAAGTCATCACCATGTACCGCTGTTATCATCAACCTACCTACAGCGAAGCCGCAAGGCAAGAAGGGAAAGCTACGGACCAAGATCCCTCTCAGCAATACACAGAGCGTCGTGGTTCACCTAGTAAAAAGGCTGCTTCCTCAGACATATCACGTCTTCACAGATAACCTCTTCTCGTCACCGCAGCTCTTCCGCCTCCTTCGGCAGCTTGGCTTTGGTGCCACAGGCACGGCACGCCCTAACTGCAGCATTAGCACCGAGATGAAGCAGATAAAAGAGACCGGCAAAGCTCCTGACGGCACGCCTTTGAGGTATAACGAGGTCATATTAATCCCGATGCCGGATAAACAGGTATAGACGACTTTTAGCTGTATTTCCCCTACTAATTTGTCCCTTTTTATTCCCCCTAGGTCATCCAAATCGCTTGGAAGGATAGCAGCGTGGTGCTCTTCATTTCAACTGTGCACAGCGGCGCCCCTCACGAGCGCACACTAAAAAAGAGGAAGCTGCCGGCTAAGAGAGGCACGAAGGCAGAGGCACAACAGCTACAGCGCCTTTTCAACGGGAATAGCTTCAAAATGATCCCTATACCTACTGTTGCCGCTCAGTATAACGATGAAATGAATCACGTGGACCGCGGTGATCAGATAAGGTCCTATACAACGTACGAGCATCGATTCCGCCGCGGTCCGTGGCAGGCGTTGCTTTGGAGCTTCCTCCTCGAAGTCGCACTTGCGAATAGCTTCATTTTGCAAAAGAAGACCCGGCACCCTCGCTGGAAGCCCTACAGCACGCTAAGAGCTTGGAAGGAATGCATCTGCAACGCGATTTTCAACACATATGCTGCTGAAGGCGGCACAAGGAAGAGAAGTCGGTCAGGGAAGGAAGAAGACATCGAGGATATAGAAGCACGGCAAAATCACCTACAAAGAGATATCAATCATGTCCGCCGAGGCAGCTATTCGCCCTGCCTAGCTTGCAAAGGCTACCGGCAAGGGCAGCCTCGACCCTTTAAAAAAAGGAAGGAAAAAGGAGGCTATCTCGAGCCGATATCAGGAAATCAGGGGTACCGGAAGACTAGGTACGGTTGCAAAGTATGTGATGTAGCGATTTGTAACAATGCTGACTGTTGGTACCTCTATCACACGCCAATTTAGGTGTGGGTGGAATATACCGATCGTCGCGATCATTTTGATTGGCCCCCGACCCCGGTCGTGACCTCTCTGATACCTTGTGCCGCTCAAAGAGATATGCCTTTTTTAAAGGCCTAAAGCACCCGACGTCAAGGGGTTGAAGCAAGTGGGAAGAATGAGGCGGCATACAGAGCGTAATGATGTTATTCTCCTCACAATATATCACAAAGTCGGCAGATAGGTGGCTTTCATGGCCATCAAGGATCAGAAGACAATAGGGACCAACCGATCGGTTGGTTATATATCAGTCAAAGTGCTTTAGCCACTCAAGACCTATTTCATTATTGGTCCAGCCATTTTGAGTCGTGGTAATGGCCCAATCGCCCGCGAGGTTACTTCCTCGATACCAGCTGGCAAGGTGATATTGCCCTGCAACCACGATGAACGGCGGAATCGCCCAACCCTCCGCATTGATCGCCTGAATAACCGTTACCCATTCTCGACTTCCAGGCTGCACTAATTTCGGCCTCCATACCTGTCTGCGCCTGTCACGACCATTCCACTTGCAATCATTCCCATCATGAAGCCAGTCTCATCAAAGTTGTAGATATCAGCAAGGGTGATACCATAGTTGGCGATTGTGTTCTCCACGAGCCTGAACCAATTACAAATAATGGTCGGATCCTCGCATTTAGCTTTATAATAGTCGTACTCGCGACAATAACCCGCCTTGAGCCCCGTGTGCCACTTCACAAACTTGGGAGCCCAGTTTCTTCCCACTGGTGGCGCGTCGCGGTCAGCAAGCGGTTGGTTGGCCATTTCTTCCACACTACGCAGTTGTGGGGGAAACCCTCGCGAATCTAGGTCGAGGATATACTTAACAATGATGTGTCCCTCTAGGTCAGATAGTTTACGTGAATTAGGGATGGTATCACGCCGAGAAAGAATGCCCTTTTGTCTGCGATACAAGGTCCAATAACGGACCTGGTAGATGCTTGCGGCACGTCGGAGACTTAATTTAGGGTTATCTTGAAGGGCTTAAAGAGCAAGCAGAATATTTGCCTCGTTACCAGATTGTGGCATCGTTGGTGGTTAAGAAATAGTAAATTGGATGACAAGATGAGAGTTTGAGGGATTTTTGTTGCACTCGCTGGTTTGTTGCACTCGGGGGTGGAGAACGTTATATCTATTTAACCTCTATGAATTCCTTAGATGAGAGTTCTTGAGTTTATATCCCTAGATGAGTTCGTCTTAGACTTTAAACTCTTGAGCCTAGGATTTTCAGACTGATAGTCTGAATCCTAAAGGAAAGAGGGATTCCAAGATCTTCCAATAATAATAAAAGTTATTTAACGAGATTATGTGATTCTTTAAGGTATAATATGATTGTACGAAGACTAAAATGCTTCCTTGAGACTTTTGTCGCTTAACGTTTGCGCTTCAATCCCACGGTAACGCCAGCGGAAACTTGACTAATGCCATGTGATGCGACCGGAATCTGTAAAGACACTGGAAGTGATAAATCTGGGGGTGAAGATGTCAATGTCTCAGGGAATGCGCTCACTTGTGAATCAACACAACGCATTCTCTGACCTCCCGAATGCTTGCTTGCAAGGTCAGCCTGCTTGAGAGATATTTTAGTAGATAATCTCTTGTCAAGTCGTACTGTCTCGTTAAATGTATTTTTAATCCTGTACTGAGCTCTTGTAAATGTATCGAAATCTGACATGGTCGACATGCCATCACCAGAAGTCAACACGGCTACCCTATGGTTGATGTAGGAGCTGTGTTCATGGGGTCGAGTATGCTTAATGGCCCTTTCTGAGAATGAGGAAAATGCAGCAGGGCAAGTAGATTCCAAGGCTTTGTCGGACGCCAGAAGTTGGTCTTTCGCTGGAAGGCGGCCAAGCTCCATCGACGACGATACCAAGGTCTGTCTCCCGGAGCCGACCGCCTCATTCGTTTTGTGGCGCTTGCACCGTCTTTTCGGTAAAGAAGTGGAAAAAGCGTGAGTGGCGGCAAGGGCTGAATCTTGGCATGGCGGGTGCCAAATGTGGTCGGTGGGGAGGTAAGAAGCGAAGTATCGGACGAGGGAGTCCAAAGAGTTTGTTTGGAAGAGCCGGACTGCATGTTCCCACTGAGGCATCTTGATGAGCTTTGGGTTTCCAATGATTTCAAGACTTGCGGATTCAAGAGATTTATTTAATTCGGAGAGACGTTGTTGTCTGCGATGGCTGGCTAAATGGTGAAATTCGGCTGTCGACTGCGCTTCGTAGGATATTTCGGCTATGTCACAATAAAAAGCTTCAGCATCTTGGATGGGGATCGTGTAGGTATTGTACTGGTCGTGGAGCTTGGTGAACAAATCCTCTTGTTTCATGCCGAATTTCCAGGCTGGCCATGTCCATAACGGGTCGTCCATTTTATCGATATAATTCCCTTTAGACTGATTATAACTGCGGTAGATCGAAGTTGGTGATAATTAGAAATTAGAAGTGGAATTGCAGAGGAGATGCACGCTTGGCTTTAGACGCGGATATCTCGAGGACCCTGTATTTTGTAGCAAGCCAGCACTAACCCTAGTGGAAGAAAAAAAGTCTTATCGCTTGACATCTCAAAGGAAAGGGGGGGTGTCGCTATAGTTGTCTCAGAGGGGTAGCATGGAGACTGACATAATAAATATGTCAGGGAGAGTAAGCATGGAAGGACAGTGGTGCATATTCTTATGGTCTGGAGCGATCGATTGCAACCTGAGATCAGAGGGTTGCATCCTGCTCCTCCTCTATTGCAAAACTACGTCACTGGTGGCAATATACGAGGTCAGCATCACCTAGAACCTGCTTCTTTAGTATGCACCGGCCGAGCAAAAATTATTATAAGCCATGTATTTTGTGACGCTTAGTTAAATAACATACGGTAGATACGTCTCCACTTCATATCGAACTGGTTAATGGCATGATATGTGGTTTTATCAGCTGTTCCGCTCATAACCGAAACCAAGGAGAAATCACTTCACAATAGTGAATAGGCTACAAACCGGCACTACACAGTTGGAGGTCCTTGCCTCACTAAAGGGATAGGTATAATTACATATTTTGTTGCTTTGGAATTGATACGATGCGAACTAAATGACCATCTGCACCACGACTTCACATTGTGTTCACTCTCACAAGCCATAATGCCTTCCAAGCGCCACGAGCCATCCTCTGGTAGTTCACAGAGCGCCGAAAAGGGACGTATCAGTATTCATGAGCACGATAAAAGTCCACATGAACCAGCTCCTCGCCTTTCCCACCTGGAACACCTGACAGTCCGTGTCTCCGATAACTCGATTCGAAGTCTTGCCGGAGCCACCAGTGCGATAGCCTCTAGCATCGTAACAAGTCCTCTGGACGTTATGAAAATCAAACTACAAGGAAGAGGTGGACTCCAACTGTGGACGCTTGACCCTGTCAGAAAGCGACGTTCATTCCAAGAGAGAGGTCTCATAGGCACTGGGCGAGCAATATGGCATGAAGGCGGATTTATTGGCATGTACCAAGGACTCGGACCGACCATGCTAGCAAATATTCCTAGGGGGGCCATATATTTCACAGTATATCATAAGATTAATGATTCGCTAAAGAAAGTATTCAGTAAGTCACCTTTGTTATCCATTCTATCAAAACTATCGCGGGTAGTACTAACCTCTGACAAACGACCAACAACAGACCTGGGTATGCTCAAGCATATCTGCAGTTACTGGAGGTACCGTTTCTATATTATTCACGAATCCATTATGGGTTATCAAAACCAGACTCATATCTCAGTCAAGTAAATCTACGAAGAATACTCCGAGAGAATACAAGTCTGCCATAGACGTAGCTCAGAAGATGTATTGCCGAGAAGGCGCCGCTTCATTCTATTCAGGACTAACTCCATCTCTGCTTGGGGTGACACACTTAGCCGTACAGTTTCCATTATATGAGCAGTTTAAGATATACTTGACTGGATCAGGGCTTGGGGATTGGCATGAAGGCCAGGAATGGCTACAGATCCTAGGGGTACTCACAGCTAGCGTGGCGAGCAAAGCGTGTGCAACTATAGCCACATATCCACACGAAGTTGTTCGAACAAGATTACAAACGCAGCAGAAAGTATACCCTTCATCACCAATTGAACACGCAAGAGTAAGGGATGACAGAGGCCTATTGATGCGTGGGAGTAGCTCACAAAGCGAAAAGGTGTGCAATGCAGGGAAAGTTTGGGAGAGATTTCCCCGACTAGATCGGGAGATTATGAGCACGCTCGAAATGATCTTGCGGGAAGAAGGCTGGCGTGCCTTATACTCTGGCATGGGCACTAGCTTAATCGGGGCTATACCAGCCTCTGCTATGACAATGCTGGTCTATGAGGCAGTGGTGTGGCAGATTAAGAAGTCAAGGACACAGGGAAAAAGAAAGCTCGAAATGCAGGATATAACAGAAACTTGGTGTCTATAGCCCGTATAACTTTCCAGCATATCGTCGGCACAAACGGCGGATACTATCGAGCATAACTATAATTGAACAACGACTATGCCTAGGCAGGTCTTACACAACCCCATATAATCTCAAATCTCGTTATTAAAGACTGGGGGTGGGGGCAGAGTCGTGTAGACTATACGGGGGAAAATATGTAATCTTAAGATGGACTGAAAGGTAGGATTGAGAGTATTTATTTATTATTTAAGTTAATTAACTCATATCTAATGAGAGCTGCGGAACTGCTGCTAGTTTGAAACTTAGATGACTGTCTTTGATATCGTTAAAAGTGACTAGGGTTGTAAAGCCGGAGCAATGATTGGTGAGTCCTAATCGGTTGTCGTTGGTCCGTACATTTCTGTACATCCAGGTGGTGGTCAATAGCAGACAGGTCCTGTCCCAGATTTCACAGTTAGTATAGCTCCCTCCGCTATCGGTTTACTAGGGCGATCAATGATTGCTGGACTAACACCATTGGAAGGGAAATGGGAAACAGAGCTTAGAGTATGAAGGGTGTAGGGTTCATGTTTAGAAGTACGTCACGCGCACTGGCTGCTGATCATGTCGCGCTGACAGTCTTACGACGATTGCAATAATATGGACGCAGCTCAAACTCAAAGTTCGACACCATTTCCTGCTCACTGCTTCCCTAATGAAGGTGAGTAGGACTCACGGGAAGCACTCTTCGAAGCGATAAAAGCCTGTGTAGGGACTAGGGGCCGCACGTTCATAACTGGATGGCCAACCAAGGCAGAAAAGCTATCACGTACATTTGTTATAGTTGCCGCATCCACCCAATCGTTCTGAGATAACGGTAACGCCAGGCGATAACTGGAATGACAGGCTGCAAGTTCTCTATGATGGCGAATGAGTCTAGGGACAAGAGGACCTGGACTCCGTGGCATCGTTCCGACAGACGATTCTCACTACATAATCCGGAGCCGAGCCAAGACACCACCGCGCATCCAGTACTTCTAACGGTTCCTCACCTATATAAACGATCGAGTGTAATTATAAGCTGTACTCATAATTACACACAGTATAAATACATATTGGTCCAGTCCCTTGCTTCACCCACTCGCTTGTCATAAACGTCATTTAATTGCTGTGTTGGAATTCGCGTTGCCAAAACGTAGGGTATGACGTTTGTCATCATCATGTTGGCGTCAGGGCGACGAGCTTTATCGAGAGATGCATATGCGTAAAATGGCTAGTAAGATCTAATATACGGAGCTAATTACTCCGCAGCGATGACAGGTGCATCTCGCCGAAAAAATAATAAATCGCACAGCCGCTTAGGCATGGTCATAAAGATCGAAATACAAGGAACGCAAATAAAAGACCCTGTAGGATCTCATCGATAAATAGTCAGACACCCACCCTACCAGAACTATAGAGTGAATATTCTAGGCCCCAAGTTGCATCTTTAGACCGGAACAGCATCCCATCCGTCTATCTCAACACCGCCGATCCATACCTTCCGAATCTTTCTCGTAGCTGTGATATCTTGTAACGGATCCCCTTCCACCAATACCATATCTGCTCTCCGCCCGAGCGAGATCTCACCGCGATCTCCCATACCAAACACCATCGTCGGAATAATCGTAGCTGCCCTGAGTGCGTCGAGGTTCGATAGCCCTGCGCGTACGAGCAACTCCATCTCCTCGTGAAGGCTCTCCCCAATTGGTATAGGCACATGGGATATCTGGTTTGCTTCTGTTCCAGCACAGATGCGCACCCCAGCGTCATAGAGCTTTTTCACGTTGGCAAGCGCGTAGTCGAAGCTGACATCCTCCACGCCGTCGCTTGCCTCCCGGTGAAGCAAGGGTACCATAGCCCGCGCCATGCAAAGGGTCGGGATGCACGCTATGTTGCGCGCAGCGAGGCCCTCAGCTACCTCGGTTTCTATGAAACCATCTATAGGCACAAGTGTGATGACATCAAAACCCGCCTGTAAGGCCCGAGAATATCCAACCTTTTGAAAGGAGTGTGCGACGGCCAACTTGCCGTGCCGGTGTGCAGCATGAACAAGGGCAATGAGTGTTGGGCCATCGATTCCAGGTAGATCAACCAGCACCTTGATATAGTCAGACTTGGTCGGACCGTCCAGAAGAGAGGTGACCCATGTCTCAGCCCCCGCTGGGACTTGAACAACTCCCGTCTCACGGTCCGGATGTATCTGTGCTCCGTCGGTGGCCTGCGAAGTAGCAATGGGACCTGATGCTAGGTAGGTAGGTAGTCCAACCTCGGCAATAGACTCAGCTCGCATAGCCTGAATATCAGCTTTCGTGCTGCTCATGTCAAAGACTGTGCCGATACCATAAGAGGCAAAGATAGGGAGATCCGTATGCGTTGCTGCAGTATCAACATTCGCATCAATAAAGGCTGGGAGAAGCGTACAGCCTCTTCCGTCAATGACAGTGTCAATGCTAGCGAAATCCCTGGCTCCCGCCTCGATGCTAATAATATCGCCAGGGCTAGCACGGAAAGTGACATTAACCGCAGCATTAACCTTGTGGCCGTTAAAGACAGGAACATTAGAGATAGTGTGAATGACCATTGTTGGTATACAGCTAAACGTGCTGCGGGTTTCAATATAGCGAAGTGAGGATGAGAGGGAGTATATATAGTAGGTACTTTATTTGGCAGATAATATTAGTATTAGCAGAAGAACACAATAAAGTAATATAGTCCCCTTTAAACCTCATACAATCATTAGGTTGATATTATTAGAACTAGTAAGTGAATTATTAATTCATTCGTCATACTGAGGATATAAGTAAGTTGATAGAACGCAGGGGTGAGGGGTGGCGATAGCAGAATAGGTCAGTCAATACCTATCCAGGATAAATGGATACATAGTTATTGGGTGTAGATGTGATTCTGGCTTACACTAATGCTAAACGTCGGAACGCACTAACCCTCAGAACTTATACCTTGTATTATTATAACCCACTCTAGGTTTCAAAGCTCAGCCACTTTTACATCAGGACTTTATTCTGAGCTTACAGGAATACCACATGCAGGAATTAAAAGGTAGAATATATCTAATAGTTTGCCGTGCGTTGGAGATAAGGAATCCTCAGAGGGGCCTAGGCTTGAATCCTTAAGACACTGTCAGTATATAACTCACTCCTAAAGCCTGCTCTAGATCCGGATGTTGATTCCAGGCTGAAAGTTTGCACCTGAGAACGATTTTCCCAATAGCTGCCTTCAACTAAAGGCTCGAGCGACCATCTACCCTGGTGGTATATGGGCTTTAACTCTCACACGCTTCAGACCGTTGCTAGGTGCTCTCTGACTACTCGACTTGATATGCGAAGAAATCTGTGATCTCCTAAGTTATTAGAGTCCGTCGCTGATCTACAGAGTAGCTACCATGCATGCCACAGCTGCTGAGAAAAGAAGATTATATCTAGAACGCTCACATGAGTCTTATACAAAATTGCCTATCTTGATTGAGACCACCCTAACGCAAGTATTGTCTCCTCATCCTAATTACTTCATCTTGGGGTGTGGATGGCTATGAACTCTTTCCTTGGTTTCTCCAAAATCTCAAGTACAGTTAAAGGACTTCAAAGCTACTATGATGTGATACTTGTACCATTAACATTTGTGTTAATAACTAGATTTCCAGGATATTTGCCACTGGTAATAGAGCCACAGCCACTTGTGGAACGATTTGTCGTGTCTGTTGTGATATTATACCGGTACCTTGTCCTTGCATGAATTATAAGCTAATAACGTAGGGCGTATGGAAGAGGATAAGAATCAGGTGATATGATTTACTTCGCTATGCTGGTTGGGCATTTTTAATGGGATCCGACAAAACCTGGCCCCATTCCTAGATAATATATACTTGCTGGGTTTGGAAAGTATAGGTAAGGGAGATATAGTAACAAGCAATTTTTTCTATTCATTGTGACCTCACTATGAACTCTCACTGGGCTTAGGACACGATGCTATACAATTAACCCCCCTAATTGTCTTGAGCTTCTCATCCTCTTCCTACTGCTTCAGGACTGACCATATGCCCTAGCTCGCTCGTTCGTTACTAGCTCGCTAGTGACTCGAATGCTGTTGCTTGTCGCCCCCACTTACTTAGAGCGCATATTCTCTATTTGCGTCCCATTGCCAAGGGCCCATTAATCGCTTCTTGGTGGTACCGTCTCCCCATACTCCCTGCGCCTCGATGGCTAGCCATAAGCTTATGCACACTCATCAACATCGACTGAGCTGTCGCTGTGTAATATATGAGCTCCGGCAACTGGACATGTATCCCCTCGTTGAGCGACATGCATATACCACCAACACAAGACGTGAGGATAACAGGATCATCCGGCTCTCAGACATCCTTTCACCATTACCACAGATAGTATTAGGTTACGCTATTATGTCTTTATATGTCCTGTCATAAGTGAGTCAAACGTCGTGCTATTTACGCACGCCCGCGTCTTCAAGGACATTCACTACAAATCTCCCTCCGATCATGCAAGGCTTTAATAGGCTTGAAATGCAGCATACCACTTACATTTCGCTGCCTAGAAAGAGCTCCCAGACGCTCTGGAATGACCTGCTAGCCGAATTCAGACTACAATTCCCCGATGTCACAGTGGTCTCTCCTCAACCACTGGTGCGAATCCTGCCGTACCTTTGACGCTGCTGCCTGAGAGGTATGTCTAGTTCCGATCTTTATATCACAGTGCAATCGCCTCAGCCCTATACATCTCTGCTTTGGGCTGATCTCCATTTGTCGGGGTGGACATGCCTGGCAACCGTATTGATTGAAATCCTGTTCCAATAGGCCCCAGGACTTTAGTCAAGATGCCTTGTACAACCGAGACCTAACTCTTCGGGCTCCCAGTAATTACAAGCCAATGCTAGGCGATGCCAACAGGCCTTCTTATCCAGCCACTGGCGACCTGAATACCTTCACAATGGACTTGGGTAAGGACCTCGGGGCGCCATCGTCCAAGCCAATTCTGGAGGATGTAATGCAGCTGGGATCAGGCCCGCACTAACGGAGATGACGGGATTCCAGTTCTTACAATCTCATCAGTTCCACTATTCTAACCCTTTCATCCAGGTTTCCCTGCCTCAACAAGATGTTGTGCTTCTCACTCTTGTGCCCCGGGACCCCTTCGATGAGACCATGGATCAAGATGACGCGCCGATGGATTTGAACGCTTCTGAGGGAAAAAGGTCTTCCATTAGCGATGCACTTTCAAAATCTATGTCTACGGTCGGTTTCCGGACGAGCCAGTTTCCTGCAGGACAGCTGGCCCGTCAATTGCGTCCTTTTGCAGAAAGGTTTCGACTCCACTGCACTCTCAATGCGCCCACTGCTATGATCAAGCATGCAGACGAAAACCCTGCCACCTACCTCAATAAAGGGTATACTTATTATCTATCCGTTGCTGACACCAGCGCCATGGAACTGCTTGTCCAAGAAACTATAAATCAGGCATTTGTTCGCATATCATTTGAGGATAATCAGCAGCAGCAGCAACGGCCAGGCATTCCCTGGGACATCTGGCAAAAAGGCAGAGGGAATAGTGAGGCGCAACAGAGCATTAAAAAGTTGTAGGCTGTTGAGTATGTGGATGCAGGACAACTTGCGGATTGGGACGATAATAGAACTCACATGAATCTAGTCTTCCTCGTTTCATGATTTGTTCATCATATAGACGCCAGGCATCAACGGTCCTCCTGCGGTCAATATCGCAATTCGCTTCCACGTTCTGTCTACGGACCTTAGCCATTTGAAAGGCGTCTAGGGCATTCCTGTTAGATTCTCCGCGAAAACAAGCCTTATCCCCTATGATACGTCCCGACCTGGACCTGAATTGAACGCCGAAATTTGCTTCTGCAAGATTAAGCTCTTCCGTGATCACGGGGCCGAAAGCAAGCTGCCCAGTGATGTTATGCACGTGAAGAAGCCTATTGGCAAGCTTAAGCAGCGGAATGCTCAAGCAGAAAGCGGACAGGGATTTCGGCAAGCGAAAGCATTCAATTGGCGCCGCAAAGGTTGGAGATGCCCTAGGGCGCAGCAGGATGCAAAAGCATAAGCGGACATGGCCCATTCCTTCGGTCAGCTCCGCCGATGAAGGCAATAGCGCAAGGGCCTCTTCGGAAGAGGACTTCCACTTTCAGCTCCAGACTCTACAGGACATGTTCACCAGTACACGCCCAGTCGCCACCCTATATCTCAGGGGCGAAGAGCTGGATGACTCAGACCTCCACCCTGTACTGTTTCCCGGTGATGCCTGCCCCATGACAAGATTGAAAGATTGTAATAGGCCAAACTGGCAAGCCAGGCCCCAGGAGTGTGCGACACTCAGTCGCAGGCTCCATAATATTTCCCCTCAACCGGTTCGCTTTGACTGGTGTCACAAGCTTCTGAATCGGCTCTGGTGGTCAATGGCAGGGCTTAGACCCGCTTGGAACTGGCGATGCGTCTCGCAAGGGCTCTAAGGCACTTCTGGGGGGCCAAAATATCATCAGGCGATGTCCATGCTGCAACTTACGCTAAAGGAATTGGACCACCGAATCGCAGCCAAGTGGGGTCTCGGCCCATCCAAGATAAGGTTCTGCGGACCCTCCACTCCATTCATAAGGGCTTTGAAGTAGAGATGGTACGGAAGTTGGGGGATGGCCAGGATATGACCCTAGAGGTTGACGAAGTCATCAAGCAACCCGCGGGAGTAAATCGGGAGTGGGAGATGGCTGCCAATTTGATTGACAATGCCCCTAAGCCTGCAATGAACAGACCACCGAGCGGATTTGTTCTTCGACTCGCTGGTTAACATATTGCGTGCCAGTCCCCTTACTCCATCCCTGCGCATCTACATCCGTGACAGATGATGGAATTTACGACCAATTGATTTGGTTACAGTGTCTAAGACGTAAGATATCTTGCCATAAAGCTAAGCGACGTTCAAAACAGCATAAAAGCCACCATTCGCGTGAAAGATATGCATGTCGCACTGGGTGTTAGAATATTGACGGGACTATTGCGTTGCCACACTTTGAATAGTCTGTAGGAAACCTAATCAAGATGGAATAAAATATCTAGAGGATCAACGTAGGGTTCTAGCAAGCGATAGCACCCGACTCCGTAGAGAACTGCAAGTTATGATAAGATAAAAGCCTTCCGGGATTTACTAAGAACTCCTTCCAGCAAGGTTACGAATGCCTTCAATGAGACCGGAGAATACAACCTCCTGTGAAGAAGCACTCGACGACCCAGCACTCATATCGTCATAGCCGAGCCCAATGTTCACGAGTACAGGGCCTCTGATAATTATTCGCCCCGTTCTCACAGCTAAGCCAGAAAAGATTATTCTGCAAGCTTTCGGCAAGTTTACAGTTTGTTGGCGAGCAAGCTCCTTAATGGCCAAGAGATACTCGTTTGCCACAGGTAGAAATTCCCCTATACTATAGAGCAACTGGCAGGCCATAACCACTGACTTGGACAGGCTTGAATTATCATCAAGCTTGAAGATGATGGCTTTGGCAGCTTCCAAACACGCCTGCGTAAGCCAGTATTCGTGACGCATACCGTAGGCGGCTCGATACACCCAGAGATTAGAGATGATGGAGGCTCCGTATGAGGCTCGCGTGGACGCTGTCGATTCATGCGCATCATCTTGGAGGGGAAACTGGCAGGGGCGGCGCAGGAGCTTGAGAAATATCATCTCATACGTGATCCTTCTCAATGGGTAAGCGATTATAGCAGCACAGTAGGTGCTGGTTCCCCGGGTTTCTAGACTTACTCAAGGAAAAGTATCGAGGGGAGGAGGGTACTATGCGCAAGAAATCGCTGTAGAGCACCTGTACCCCATCTTTGCAGCTTTTCTTTAATGACTCTCGTCTCGTTGTAGTTTGAAACGGGTGTTCCAGCTTCCGCCGGCGTAAAGAACCTTGAAGCTTCCTCTACTATGACGGCGAGTTGGCATTCGAGTGAGATTGCTTCTCGATACAATGATTTCCGCGGCTGACGATCGCAGGGGTAAGGGGACCAGAAATATTCCGGCGCATCAGGGTTGGCAAATACGGATAAATAGGCATCCTCAAAGGTCTTAGGTATCTCGGGCTTTCTAATTCTCATCGCACGCGAGAAGATCAAGGAGATTTTCCTTGCCAGATTAGCTCATTAGCATCTAATATTTTAGGTATGGATTGGGGACTTTGGCACCTACGCCTCGAAACAGAAGAATCCCCAGACAATGCAAGACAAAACCTGCCACTCCCTCATGGGGCGGGAGACTTGACTGGGGGATGTATCGTCCATAGCCGGCATGGCTAGGTCGCTGAGTCCTAAAGCACTGTGAAAGTGGTAAAATTCTTCGAGTAAAGCTATGGCTTGGGCCTTCTCTCCATGGTTAACCTCGTAAATCCAGAGCACAATCAACCCCTGCAGCAGGGTTATTGACGGGCGCTGCCGTTCATCTTCAAGCACCCGTAGGGCTTCGTCTGCAAACATACGACCTCTGAAGCGTAAATCCCGGGCTTGCTGTGATGATACTCCTTGCGATATGAAAATCTACAGAGTTAGCTTGAACGAATCAATCATCTAAAAAATGCTTATGAGACGCAACATACATGAGAAACAGCAATTAGAGAATTGACAAGAAATATTGAACATAACCTTGCTGGTTCCATTGGGCCTGCTTTGAGATCTTGTAAAAACACAGTTCGGTGTATGATGTGACTGAGGGTGTGATCCCAGGTGAAGAAAAGATATAGTATGTGAGATAGATATCTGTTATCAGTGGACAAGGTAGTCCACTGAGAGATAGGCAAGACTCCATCAGGGAATTTAGCGACCAAGTCGTCCGTGATACTTAAAGGTTCCGTTCTAATGCCGATTTAACCTTGAAGCTATAAGGGCAGAGGATATAAGGGGGTACGCACCCTGGCGAGAGGCCCCCGATACGTAGAGGGAAAGGGATTTTTAATAGCTGCGTGGGTATATTTTGAGAGTCTTGTATGATTTACCATAGTTAGGCACCCAACTAATTGGGATAAAGCTTCACATTGAGACATGTTCTATAGTGACCACTTACTTGATCGTTGTGGAACATGGGGCAGCAGCAGGCTAGCATCAGCAAATGTCTTGATGAAGTCATTAACCGACTGCGCCTCTCGAATACTGTTCAAGAGCTTTGTAGACTCATTTTTCGAGCCCCCGCGCAGCAGATCGAGAATCGTCTTGACGGGGCTTTCCCCCTCAGAAACGACTTGAAGCTGGTGCGCCTGCGCATCATGCCAGGTCTTATCCTCCGAAATAGAGAAGCGACATTCACTGACGGAACGAATGCATTGTGAACAAGTCGGGCGTCGGTTATCGCACTGCCTTAGTCAGCTACCCTAACCCCGTGACGAGCTCGGTGAGAGGGACTTTAATTTTACGCCTTCGACATACTAGATAACCTCGTCAGCAAGTTACCCTTAGTCTTCTTCTGTTACCTAGACTAACCTTCGCATGCTACTAGTACCTGGACACGCTTGCGCTTCCCGATGACTGGCGGTGGTGGCAATGGGTTCTCGTCTCGAGACTTTGGTAGGAGTTTCCGCATATTACGTGGATAAATAGCGATATAATTTGCCTTCTGATAAAATCTCAATAGAAATTATAAATAAGGATTAACAGAAATGCGGTTCAGTTATATTCTAGGCCGGTAATATTACTGCAATGAGACCTTAAAATCAAGTTTCTAACGTAAGGTATGACGCACGCACTCTACATAGTTGCGTCTGGTTGACACAGTTATTATTGTGGGGAATATAGGACGACTAGGGTTCTCCTTTTGACCGGCTAGTGGTGATCCACTTACCTATGAGGCACAAATTTATATGTATATACACGGGCACTTTAAAAACACGTCGATGTCTAATGGTACGTTTTAACCTGATTATCTTCTGATACTGCCCAAGGTACTTTGAAGACTACCAAGGCTGAATTCAGCACTACTCTAAAGATAATCAATGTTCTTTTCTCTCTTAACCTTGTTATTATCCTTTCCTCTTTTCCCCTCGGGCACTAATGAGCGGATGGTTTGGCGGCTAAGCCCCTTAAGGTTCTGGAACACATGGGGGTCGAAGTCTGGATCTCTGGTGGTACCAAATTAGGTCAACAATTGGTTGGTTATTGTGGCTCGACGCTCCACACCCCACTACAATACAACCCCCATCTCTCTATACTGTGATTGGATAGGTCCTCGGAGTGCGTCTGGCCGTTGTGATTGGCCATTGGAAACTGAAAATCAAGTTGAGGCGAGACCTATGACGCGCCATGACGCGTCGCGTCTCAACTGAATCTGCAAACCTCGAGCGTCGTACCAGGAATATGAGGAAGAGCATGAGATGAGTTCGTCTGGGCAGCTGCGTTTAGAAGCTAAGTCGATTTCCATGGATTGAAATCCCAGGACCTTTGAATGACTTATCAATGTGGCCTTTGCGGCAGTCCATGGCCCAATATCGTTCTGAGGGGTAAATCTCCCTTCACAGTGCAAAGCCATCCCCAGCTGGAATTTCACTACCTGTCAACTGAGCCCTCACCTGGTTCATTTCTCTAGTAGGCCCTTGTATTCTATCTGAACGCTTGGATGCTGTCTCTCTAGCTCAATCCTAGCCTCGCCTCCTCCATAACCAACTCACTCCATCTTATTCTACCGATTCTGTCGACGCTTTGGACGCAGTTGATTTGTTCAGCTCTAAATTATTTCGCTATATTTTATCCTTAAGCTCGTCTTCCTATCCCCGCTTAGAGGGCTTCTTGCTGTCCTAAGACTTCCTAGATATGCCGATCCACTTCCCCGACTCTCATTCCTTAAGGGTCATCTATTTGTGCGAGACCTCGGCCCCGCTTCCTGATTATGCATGAAATAGGTATTCAGAGGTTGCGCTTGCTGATAGGATTACTTCGTTCTTGATCAGCATGAAGGTTTCCCTCGGGAAAGCAAAAACGGAGGATGCGATGAATCCTGCATCTGGATATAGCACCTTTACTACCTAGGCCACATCCAAGTCTAGCATCACAACTGGTTTATCGTGCGATTAGTCTGCAGCGCAGTTTGTTTGGAGCCACTACTAGATTAGGGCATGATCTGTTGTTAATACCATAGCTATATATTTCCCTCGGCTTATATCCGGAAGTAGTTCCTCAACTTATGTCTATTATATGGATCACGCACGGCAGCGGAGCGTTACAGCTATTGAAGTATATGAGAAAAAAAACAAGCGATTTGTGAAGAGCAACCGACTGAAGCCAACTTTAACATAAACGCACTAACCTTTCCAAACCTATCCACTGTTTCCTAAATGCCAGTCTTGACCTTCTCATCTGTACTGATTTGAGAATAGCCCAAGAGAATCATACCAACTCCGGCCTCTCTCACGTATTCATTCTCTTCAGTATCTGCTAGATAACATCCCATCCACCCGGGGAACATGGGCCCACCATAGAGATAAGGCTTTCCCAGCTCTATGGCTTATCCGTTACCATAGTCCGACCTTTAGACTTAAAGACTTGCCTGGATTCTTGGGCGAAAGGTGTTGCTGGGAAGCTAGCTAGCGTTGGCAATCTCTTCTTTATCTTCAGTCCCGTATGGTCAAGTTGGGCCTTACCCTTGGCCGGCCGCGGTGCTCGCTTATGCACACCATCGCATGATTTGCTCGAAGTCGCCCTTCTTCATACCTGGCGCTTAATATCTTCCCGTGGTATGTCAGGTCCTCATTCGTGATGAGGATGAGGGGCATAGGGCGGAACCACATTTGCGGTGTTCGCGACGTCTCGGTGGTGATATTACCCTGTGTTAAATTATATATTCAGAACGGCCTTAGAGGGAAGCTGGCGCATCTGTCAGAATATAGAGTATAAGGATGGAGGACATACATATCATCATGGAGAAGTCTATGAGACAACACACAACACACCATGCAGGCACACCAAGGACGGAAAAATTAGATGTAAGGTACGCCAGTATAGAAGCTTTCCTTAGACACATCACGATCCATCGCTCGTCGTGTGATTATGTAGGGACCCCTGGCTGCAGGACATGCTGTAAAGTTTGAACTTGCCCCTCACAGCAAACTGGTCTCGACCGCTGCGTTGGCCAGTGAAGGCGTTACGGAGGCTCCGTAAGCCTAGGCTTAAGGTTTGTCGCCGATCAGGTGGTGCCCGAGACATAAGTGTCATTGGTTCGAGCCATCTCGTCGACGCGCTTCCGAGCGGCGGGGTTCCCCGACCGCGTCCTTGGCATCTTGTAAATCTTAGCAATCGCTAAAACATATGGTTTTACTACGAATGTAGCTCAGTCACTCGAATCCAACTCTGGATAGTAGCTACGTAGCGATAAGTCGTTTCTAAATATAAAATGAAGGGGAAGAAAACAGAGGAGTGGTAATATACGGAGAAGATAGGGGAGTTTACTGTTACATTTATAAATTGCATCAATAAGGATATGCGCGACGTTGGAGTGGCATTATCTGGTTGCAAATGTCGAAGGCCATATTCGATTTGGCAATCCTGCTACATGAGGAAGCGTAGGGGAAGATGTCAATATCGTTCACAATTCACAAAAGAGCTTAGCTGCGCCCCCTCATGTCCAAATAACAACGTTGGTCTACATAGAGCTAGCCAGAGTCAAATAGTAACGGTTGAGGCACAACATGCAATGATCTAGATACCGAGGGCATCACCCTCGACGGTAGGGATATTTCGCATGTCACACAGACAACATACTGTAGTATGTAAATAAGGTCCCCGATTGAATACTAGAAGCCGGCCAGCGGCGAATATTTTTAATATTGCCTGTGGTGACGGAAGTGAGCGTCATGCAAGGGCTTGCACAGGAAAGCTTGGGGGGATGGTGGGGGGATGGTGTGGGGAAGGGGCACTGCATCGGCTGGGTGGAAGACTTGCAGTCGGTGACCCACAAGAGCATGCAGTCTTTGTGGGCCATAAAGGCGCAGGGAGTGGTAAGGGGACTCTGCTCCATACATTGAACGGCGAGTCATCTACTACTTGGTCAAAGGTAGCGATGGGCTCACCAGTCGTTACTGACATACCACAAATAATGAGGACTTAAGTATGCGGTCCCGATAGAAGACAGGCAGCAAGGGCAGCCCAGTTAGCCAAACTTCGCGCCACCGAATATGTAGCTATCGCATCGCTAGCTAAAAGCGACACCACGGCACGCGAACGTGGCCAGTGTCAGCAAAATTCCCGAGCTATTCTGTCCGCTTGTGCCGTTCCAATCCCACGCTAGCAAAGTCCTCTGGTTCGTATCGGAAAGGAAGTGATATGCTCGCTACGGGCTGGCTAAAGACCGGTATCGGTGCTCTTTAGAACGGGTCTAGTGGCATGTTAAACATGCCCTCCGCGACCTCTAATGATTTGGGCCACTTATTTATTCGCGTTATTGGAACTGGATTCCTGAATAAGAATGCTGTTGCAATCGGAATGCCGCAATAGTTGCTTCTTCTACAGCCGGCAAGCGGCGGCAGTCAGGGAGTCAAACATGTTGAGGTGTCGATTTCTACCCTCCATTGCCTGCCCGCCAAAGGCAAGGCGTGATTCACCACCTCTTGCACACAACATTTGATGGTACAGATTGCAGCCAACCAAGCTGTGGCGCCTGGACCATAGGGCTGGGGGCGTAGTGCTGGCAGGTGTCATTCTGGCTGCATCTGCATAAGTCTGACCAGGCGGTCATGGCATCTCAGCCTGATTCAGTGTATTTAGCTGTAGTCGAGTCTGTTCTAGCCCAACGCAAACCTGGGTACGGTAGCCGACTCTCGGCCACCATGACATGGCGTCGTTGACGCCACCTGATCCTTACCAGTAAGATCTCGAATATACCTTTCATGCTCGTCTTAGGCGTTCTTCACCCACCGCCGCGAAACCTTGAATAGTCGCCGTCTCACTGCCAACTTGCAGCGTGTGATACGTAACAGCAACCACGCGCTTTCTCACTTATTAGGCGCCTTGTGGCGACATATCTCAGCCTTCCTCGCCCCTCAGTTTGTTAGAAGGCCATGATGATCCTTTTAAGCCTGAACAACCCTTTTCCTCATGCCGACACACAGCACACGGCAAAATTTTGAACCATGTTCTACTGCCAAGCTATTATCTGATACTACTCTGCCCCCGTTGCTCAACCCGAAACTGATCCAGATCAAGGCCATATTCGAAATCCTTGAAAGCGATCGCGATACAGTCCAACACGTTCGCTCGGAGAGTTCTCATATGGTCTGAACGAGGCTGACATGCACAGTTGGTGAAACAGTCGAAGTTGCACATAGCTTCGTCCAGGGCACTGAGACTAAACCCGAAAAATGGAGGGTCTGGTAGGGGCTTGAGACCATTAACAAACAGATTCTGATCAATGTACCCCAACTGTATGTACTGGCACTGGCTGCTGTAGCTGTCGTCTTTGTTCACATTCAAACTGTTCGAAATGCTCTGTAAGCGCAGTATCAAGTGGCTGATAGTCTGTTTTCTTTTCTCCTCGAGAGCGTCTAATTCACTTCATCAGACTCATAGCTCAGTTCATTTGTTTTGCGATGACTTACCAACGATTGGCTGGGGTATCGGCAACCCCAGTGTTTCTATAGGTCCTCGACTTCTGCGGATAACGACCTTGGTGAGAAGACGAAACGCCCCATAGTCGGAGAACACCCAAGCCACCGTGAGCCTCAGTAGTATCTCCCTTGCGTAGTAAATGGGTAGGTCTGAGCCCAAGTTGGAGATCCAGGTCTCCGCCCATGGCTCGACCGCCTGATAGCAACCGTAGTAGTCGACCAGCACGGCAACCTTTGCCAATGTTTCAATAGCCACTGTCCGGGGAACTGCTCGCGTCTGGTGATGTATTATGTTCATCAGCATAAGAAAAGCTTCATGATCCCAGTCCCTTGCCGTAACAGTCCACTTGAAACCGGGCTCAGACTCTGTTTCCTTCCAGTCGCCACGCATCAATGTTCTGAAAAACGTAGATGCAAGCCGAAGATGTTGCGAACACAACCTGAATCGGATGTGCCTTGGTTCTGGCTCCGCTTGGGGGAGCGATGACACATCACTCAAGCTACTGTCATTGTCGCTTAGAGCTTCCGTGCGTATAACAGACGCTTCATGGTGTGTTGAATCGCTTGATTGATGGTATGATAATGTGTTAGGCCATTCTTCTTCAGTATAACATACTGCGAACGGAGCGCCAGGATTACGGAGAATGAGGAGAGTATCGCCATTGGGATCTATCTCATGTATTTTAGAAAATGCCATTATGCAGATTAGAATGACCTGCGGCGTGGTACCTTCTAATGAGTAAAGGCTATACAAAGTGGAACCATGTAGTTTGGTTGCAGCTGAGTACAGATATAACTATCGTGATGTGAGGCAACGTGAATAGTACGTGTGTGGCTGGCATATTGACGTCATTGCCCCTCACATTGAGCATCTGCGCCCTTCGTATGGTACCTCCTGCACCGTTCTAAGCTGTCCCATGAGAGGGTACACTGTGGGGAGACCGCAGGTACACATTCGCGAAACAGAAGGCATAGAAGCCAGAAGGAGCCTAGAATCACACACACATTAGTAAAAAATCGCTGTCTACATGGGCTGGCAAGAAAATGTAAATAGTGGTTGGAGAGAGGAAAAGCGGGAAGTTTGGGCACAGCAGGTCAGCGTCTTCGACGTTAGTGAACTGGGATCAGTCTGGATCCGTGGGGCTTCGGCTGTTCGCCGGACCCCGCTAGCCGGGCATGGTCGTTCAGACGACTACAACCGCGTAGGATACAATCAATCAACGAGAACTGGACGTCGCGCTTCGCGCTTCGCCGGATTCTCGATTCCATAACACAGAATACAGAATCCGGGGCTTATTCAATTTCGATCCGAAGGACGGATATGGGTAAGAGCTAGTTCGAAGGCGAAAGTTGAATCTAATCTAGAGGCTATACGGAATGGGAATTATCACTCGGAGAGGTGTTTTCGTGACTGTCGATGTCGCTGAGGACGGGTGCTGACGGACGAGGAAACAGCGGGTGGGGTCGTTTCCTCGTAAGTTGAGGCCACTGTGACGACACTCTCTGAAGAAACAGAATCCCCTTGGCTCTCGAGTTGAGTTGCATCACTACGATCGGTAGGTACCCGACATAACAGGGCTCCAGAACTGACTTGCTGCTGACGGTCGGGGCCAGGGAGAATAAAGTTCCACGGGCATGATCGTGGTGTGGACGGCCAAACCCGAACAGGCCCTAGTATACTAAGATCAACCCCCGAGAGGATATTATGAATAGCGTCTTTTCACGGTCTCGTATTCGCTACGTACTGCTTAGTGGAAGAATCCTGAGAAACCGACTACTACGGAGACAAGACTGAATTGACGGTCATCACATGGACAACACGCTTCGTCCTCCGTCTTGAGTGAGAAGACCTCGGACCTGCACCCTTATCGCCCCACTACCGAGATATTCGGGATCGAAGTCAATGTTTGAGCCAGTGCTTGACGCTTGAGGCGAGGAGAGAGACATTTGAGTCATAATTAAAATGGCAATGGGTGCGAACAGGAAGGCTTTCCCCGTTCGTAGCCTCACAATTTTGGAGAATAGGGTAGACAACGGCGTTGATGGACGTACCTTAGAGGACATGGCTTCTATTGCACCATTGCTTCTCTTTTCAAGTCTTTTCTCACCAGAAGTTTCTTCCGACTCACAAGCAGACTCCGCGCCTGCGATGTAACGCGTGAGAAAACGTAGTCACTGGGGAGACGAGAAGCGATGTACAACAGTAACGGAGCACAAATCTAGAAAGCGAGTGGAAAATTGTAAGCTCTTGAGTTGATATGATGACCCGGTGCCGATGTGGCGCTGAAGCCGAATAACTGACAGGAGCGATTCGGTGAATGCAGAATCTTCAGTCATGTATTTGTGCGCCTTGTCCGGGCCACTACTTTTCCTAGGCTTGTTCCCCGCTCCAAGAACAGGCTGAGACAGATATTGAAGAGCGCGCAAGCCATTTCGGGGATGACACAAGGACATAAGAAGTCGACGATTGTAAGTTGACCGCTGTATGATGATATAAGCATGAATGGATTATTGATCGATATGTCTTACATACGACGGGATTCCATGTAGTTGCTTTCTGATTTCCGGATGGAGCAGGCTACTTTTCATTCTTTTTGTTGGGATTCGTCATGTGTTGCTTGGAAGTGTCACATCTGGTCATGAAGCTCTCCATCGTCTCGAGCCGTTGTCGGAGCGGGACAGATTGACTCTCTGTCAAGCTTTCGGCCTGCATAACCGTCTTGAAAGCTTGGTATTCGAATGCTGTTTCAGAATGCTGCTGCTGGAGCCGTAGATCCCGCAATACTCGGTGAACTACATACATATATAGCGGCATCTGGCCCTTTGAGCAAGGGCTGACTGACATTCGATCCATTATTCTTTTCGTGTTAACATCGGCTTGGCTGAAGTGGAGTTCTTCAACTATGACATTGGACAACTTGTTAAAAATCCTCTGCTATTGACCAGTTATCAAATACTGTTTGAAGAGTGTACTGGCATATTACCTTTAGGTTCGCGCTGCTAGTTGTGGCGCACAAAACTCGAACCTACACTAGGATTGGATGACAAGGAAGCAGCCTCGCAAGGTGATGCACTTGTGTCAGAGAGTGAGGGCCACAGAGACGGACAACTCGATTCTGATAATACGCCAAAGACCAGCCACCATATCAGAGATCTGGGGAAGAACAAAAGCCACTCGACAAGACGACGCTATTCTGTGATGTCACAAGGGTTTGAAGCCAAGCAAGTAAAGAGACGAGGACCTAGAAAATATTGAAGCTATCTATGGATATACAGCGCTCACAGATGACTTAACTAATGAATTGAAATACTGACGGCTTCATGATAGATACATAGTTGCCTTCGCAAGTCAGAGACTCAATCCGTGCAGCGAATCACGCTGCGAAGCCCCTTAATGCGATAAACTGGTCGGCTCTCCCTGGAAGTGTTGGAAAATCCGGGAATCCCCCTTCCCTTCAGGATTCAGACTAACAGCCTGAAAGTCCTAGAATTAGAGTTCAAAGTCCTAGATGAATTCATTTAGAGATATCAACCCGAGATGAACTCTCATAAAAGAAATTTAAAAAATTCAAGTTTTATAAAATATATATATTTTCACCCAGCACAACTGCGCAATATAAACAACAGGAAGTGATGATAGCGTCACTTTCTAGCTCACGCAGCCGCTCGTCAAGCAGGCCTGTCGCAGGGACAAGCGAGGCTGGGAAATGTGGCGAGGAGTAGGAATTGGTGGGGTTTGAGGGTTTGAGGGTCTGAGGGCCAGAAGTCGGAAAAGAATCTAACGAGACTTGACGTTGTGGGCCCTATGAGGCGTATCCTCCCGGGCGAAATAAATTCATTCATTCATTCATTCAAAGGGATACTTAAAAGTATGCTCAAACTAGCTCAGTAGCGGTGGCCTAAGCATGATAGCATACTGGCAGGTTGCAGAAGACTAAAACCAGAGTTGGAAACGGCGCCACAGTGTGCATCCCGACCTGCGGCGTCTTGGCGCACGGCATGACACCATATGAAGGCAGATGGACAACCTCGAGTCCATCGGGGATGGGATCTTGCAAGATAATAAGTCTCTCATACCCACCCCGGAGATCACGTACATAGACTGGCTCACGAGGTCCTCACCCACGAAACCAACGTCTTCTGCTCCAGAAGTCGCAAACAAGGTCACCGATGAGGACTTCATCTGGCAAGGCGGGGTTTCCCATTCTGGATTATGACAGATGTGTCGCGTAAGAGGGAGTCATTCTGAAGGTGTCGGCATAAACTTTCCTGATCATATGACACCCGGTCAGAGCCGATGCCGCGCCAAAGTCACCCTAGGCTAGAATAGCAATCAACAGCTCATACCAATTACGACTGATGCAAGCATTCGCTCCAAGCTGCGTATCTCCATAAATGCAGGCTTCTGACGCGTCATGCTCTACAGCAAGCTGGAGCAGGTGATGTTGAGGAATCGTCAACGACCATGGCGATAGCAAATATATCTCAAGTCCCAATGATCAGCCCCGGAGGCATTCAGTCAGAGGAATGGATCCAATCACTGCCTATGATTATTTTTTTTATATTTCTTTTCATCTTTTATGCCCTTCTTGTCACATACGAGTATGTCGTCTCAAACCAACAAGTGTGGACGCTTCTATTTCACGAGCTAAGTATTGAAAAGACACATGTCTAGGAACACCAGACAGACCCAGGTCTCGATCCAAGGGAGCTCCGAGAGCGGCCTGTCAGGAAGGAGCTGAGCTCCGAGACTAGCGACTTGTAGCGGCTAGACTCAATAATTCCACCACGGACGTACAAGCAAATAATCATAGGCATGGAAATTGCTGACTTAGGGGAGCATTCGACCTGGCCTTACGAGCTTGTTGTCTGGTAAGCGATCCAAATTAATAGACAGTTTCATTCTAAGTTGACGGTTCTTGTTATATAGCGTTATATGCTTGGAAATGATGGTGAATAATGATATCGTCCGTCGGTTGTCGTGCGGGCATACATTTCATTCGGGTTGCATTACTCTATGCAAGGGTCGGAACCACTACATCCACTCCACTTTGGACCAAGTAGAGTGGATGTACAATTTTTTAGGCAATTACATAGTGGATGTAACACATATTCGACCGGAATGGAATGGATGTACACACGTGGATTTATAAGTGGATTTATAAGTGGAATTTTGAGGCTATTCACAACCTCATGGGGGCCTATTCAGCCTCACTTTCAGAGGTTGACACTAACTATTCAGCCTGTTGCTGCTGTGATGAATCGTCGACCTCGCTGGCGCTATCCTCACCCTCCAATAGCCATTTTGACTCAGCAAGCGCCTACTCGCCGTCGCTTAGAGTCCTACAACCGGCATCAGGCTTACTTTCAAGGTGTGGCTTAAATAATGGATTCAGATCCTTCATAAGGCCAGCATGGTACCAAGAGCGTAAAGCCTGACATATGGCGATGATCTCAGCATGCAGGTTCGTACGCAACCCCGAGACCATCTTGCCAGCAGCTAAAAATAATCTCTCACTCTCGGCTGACATCGGCTGAATCGTCAGGAAGTCCAAGGCCATCCTGGATAACCGAGGATATCTGCTTTTCTTAGTGATACAGTAACCAATTGGATCACGAACGTTGCCGTCGCTGGCGTCACGATCCGTCTGCCACGCTTGGTACTCGTCACCAACAATAGCTGCTGCGTGGGCTGGTAGTGACTTCGGCACACGACTGTTCTTCTCGAAGGGGTTGAAAAACCGAGGTCGTTTTGCCGGTGGCTCTAGTCGCCTCTGCTGCTGCTGGTTCTAACCTCGAGATGAGCGTAATCGGACAACCAGACGTCGGCAACCATCTCTTTTGCCTTTTCAACCCAACTAGGCTTATGAACCCACGTTTCATCAAACTAGTCCCAACGATAAGCTGGATGGAGTGCCATAGCCGTATAGTAGATGAGCGTCTCGTCCAGCCTCCAATAATATTCATCCAGCTTATCCCAAGCAAGGTTGATTCCGATGCGGAAGTGCTCTGGATCAGGAAAGTCAGCAGCAAGCTGCTTATATTCTTCCAGTGTGTTAAGCAGCAGCTCATAGCCAAGCACCACGTCCCAGATATTGCCAAAGGAGCCAGTCCAGCCTTGCTTACTCCTGCGGATATGTCCATCACCCTCAAGCGTCTTTACCACGGTCTCAAAAACAGCCAGAATAGCCTCCAAATGGTAAAGAACCTCCCAGTCTTTGTCCGTTAGCTGATTCTCGTCTCGGAGGATGCGTGGTTTTTTCGCCAACTTGGCTTGTGTTACTTGGCCAGTATTTTTAGACCTATTTTCGTACTCTCATAGCGCCTTATACTTAATCAGTAGGAGTTCGATAGAGGTTTTCAACCGTAGAGCCCTGCGGATCATGTAGAGTTGTGACAGCCAACGCGTGTCGTTATCGATAATTAGCTTGAGTGGTTTCTTGGATCGGAATTTAAGGGTGGCGGCGCGATCAATTTCGTCCTGTTAGATATACCGAATTAGTAGGAGACGAATAAGATTTAGTAAATCCGCTTACCTTCTGGACCTCCTTGAATAAGTAAATCAGCCGATGGCTAATACGCACATCAATTACGATGTTGTGTAACTTGCCAACTGGTCCCTTTTTGCGCCATCTAGCGTATTCAGTATCAGATAACGCTTCTGCGCCTGATAATTGCTGCTCAAACACGTCGGCGTTTTTTCCAAATAAGAGCGCCTTGGCTGATAAGTTGATTGTGTGGCCAATACAGCGTCCTCGACGTAGTCGGCCATCGAACCTAAGCTCAACACCAATGACCTCCATGGCAGTATCGTTGTTTTCAGCATTGTCGAGCGTGAAATAGCCAATCCTTTCTGGACTCACGCCAAGGGTGTGTAGGACGTCGAGAACCTCCCCACCGATCGTGGAGCCGAAGTAACGATGAGCCTCTGGAACCCCAATCATGATTTTGCATGGCCGATTCTTCTCATCTCTGAAAAAACAACCAATGCCATAAAGGGCAAGCTTATTTCGAGACGTCCAGCCATCAAAGGAGATATGAAGCGCTCCAGGGGAGTTCCTCAACACCTCGATAACCTTCTGCCTGTGGCGGCCATACTCTTGAATGATCTTATATCGGACAGCCCTGGCAGTCAAGTTGGCGCGTTGGATTGAAGTGGAGGGATTCAAATAGTCGAAGATTTCTTGGAGGATGGGGTTCTCGGCAAATGACAAGGACTGGTTGCTACTGACGATTAACTCGACTAGCATACGCTGAAAGTATTGTTTATCAAAGCGTGAGGTGATGTTATTCGCGATATTCTGTTCTGTAGGCTTGTTGACGTCCAGTTTCGAAACAGAGGCAATAGTCAGCTGGTTAGATTTCAGTGCGCCTTCGGATTTCAGCTGTGCTGTGCTCTTTTTCTCCCCCTCTGGTGCTGGTGTTTTGTGCTCACGGCATAGATGATTTGCCGCGTTCTGGAGACCTGAAGAGGTAAAACTCGCGATAGTGGGACGATTTACGAGGATACAGTCCTTGCAAGCCCATTTGCGTAAGCCATGACGTTGAATATCATAGCTAAAGTCCCATAGCTAAGAGCTAGTATCACGAGATCGTTCTGACCAGGTCCAGCCTCTGAAATGTCGAAAAAGGCGGTCTTCGACGTGCTGCTGCTTGCCTGGCTGGGTGGCTGACATCGTCAATTTTTTAATTTTTTAATTTTTTTTTGGCAAAAACAACAGCAGGAAATCTAAGAAAACACGCTCAATAGGGGCAGTTTCTCGTGTCAGGTTAGAAGATTAGCTGTGGGGGATGATCGACCTTGGCTAACCATGAGTCCAGGAGTTGTTTATACTGCGCAGTAGTGCTAGATGAAAATATAGTTTTACGAAACCTTTTATTGGGTTTTTGATTTTTTTGATTTTTTTGATTTTCTTGATTTTCTTTTTCTGAGATGAGAGTTCTTCTCGGGTTTATATCTCTAGATGATTTCATCTAGGTCTTTGAACTTTTAATCTAGGGCTTTCAGACTAACAGTCTGAATCCTGAAGGGAATGGGGATCCCCGGATTTTCCAACAGTTTTCAGAACAACTGGAAAATCGTGTCACCTTTCTCGCGATGGTTAGAGTAATATTAAGCTTCCTGTGATGATGGGCGTCACACCCCCCATTTTATATCTCTCCCACTGAACGCGATCCGTTCATCTTTTTGATCGAGCTTTATTTTCATGTCAACATCAACCTAGGGGTAAGGAATGCTGCGGCCTGCATTTCTATTCTGTTCAGATCTCTCAGCCTTCTCCGGTCTCTCGGTATATCCATATCTTTAGCCTCCCACGTTCTAGAGAAAATGCACACCAAAATGATTGCGCAGCACGAAGAGGAGCAGTACCGGTATTACCACTCCATTTTGTGGGAGGGGATCAAAACCGGCGTTTTTGGCCTCGTGTTCGGCATTACATTAGCAACAGGTCTACGTCGATTCTATTCCCCGTTCAGACAATTACCCTTCTACGTCAAGAGCACCACTTGCATCTGCCCCGGAATGCTCACAATCAGCATTGGCGCAAACCGAGAATCTCATGCCTTTCATTCATACCTGCATCCTGAGCTGCGGAGCTATGAGGACGAGGCCGAGGCCGAACAGGAGGTCAAAAGAATTTATGCAGAAGAGTCTGCGGGACAGCGAGCAAAAGATTGGCTATATGATCATCAATTTCAAGTTCTTGGAGGAACATGGGCTACCACGATGGCGGTCGCTCTCATGCATATGAAGCGGGACCATTCAACTGGGGGCGCCAGGAAACTTGTCCAAGCTCGAGTTGCTGCAGGGGTGTCGACTCTGTTCTTTTACTAACAGTGGTCCTTGAAGCTAAAGATAGGAAAGATGGCGGAGGGAAATACCGGAAAGTAATCGTTGTCAACCGCCACAAAGGGTAACACAGTCATGCCTCGGAGACATGTCGAGTCGCCCATCGCGCGCTGGAACAAATCCATGGAAACTGGGAGGCTAGTCTTGACCGCCAGGCATCTGATTTTATCGCGGTGGCTGTAGAATGCAAGTATACTCAAAAAGCCTTCTATGGCCAAGACAGACGTGGGCCATGAACTTGTAGTTATGCATCAAACAGTACCAGTCTCAATTCATTGTTGTACAAATGAGGGAAATGCTCAGGGTTTGGGTAAAGAAATATCCCATAGGTATATTAAATGGCCCTGAAAACAAGACAGTTCTTGCCCTGACTTTCGCGTAGTTAGCTCCGTCTCATCACTGATGGCCACCGCAATGATGGCATACGCGGTGTGGCCAACCAAATCCACAACCCCACCCATATCCCGGTGCAGGGTACGAGGCCCTACAAGCTGGCCAACCATGGTATCGCTGCCCGCAGTCAGGGCAGTGATTCACAAGCCAGGGGCATCCAAGGGGCGGTAGCCCTATGCCGATGGGAGCAGCTGATGAGGGCGCACCGACCCTTGCAGTCGGAACCTTGTCTCCAGGAGCCAAATGAGGATTGTGCCACCACCAGCACGAGGCACCCGTGTTCCATGGGGCAGACGACCAGCGTTGCCACGGATCGAGACGGACTTCATTCTGTGCCGTGTCACCCGGGGGTTCTTTGTGATGGGAAGTCGTGTCTTCGCTTTTCTGAATATTTGGCTCGGTGTTTGGCATTCTGCAGGGCGCAGTTCTCTAAGTTGATATGTGCTTCCGTGTTGCGGCGATTTGAAGCTATGGGCGGGCATGTAAGGTACGCGAGAGCTTTACGTCTGTCTTTTATATCTGGGCTCGGCATTCTCCACCTGGGACGGGACGTTGGGCTGTTTTATGTAGATAGCTGTGTAGAAAAAGACGCCTGACCCCATGTCTCGTTTCCGCCACAATAGAGACGAACCCGCTAAATTAGTTAAGTTAATAATGATCTGATGCTGATGCAATGCGCAGCAAGATGTACGCCACAGAAGACATACATGCTACATACACACTGTGCAACGATAACAGACAAGGCGCCGATTGGGCATATGACTATATGACGTTTGTAAGAATTTTTTATGTTAGGCACTTCGGCGATTTGCTGCATCATCCTCATGACGATACGCACATGATACCACTCTGTTGGCAATGAAATATGGAAAAATGCTAAGTGTTGAACAGGTGCTGGGTTGTCATGTGCAAGCAGGGATACTTTAATATTACACACCGAAATGGAAGAATGTTCAAGGGGCAGAATTTAGACACAACACAACATGAATACACGAATCTGTCTCAATAGACCGAATACACGTAATGTCTGACAGTTTGTGGGTGGCTGAAAATTGTGGGGTACACGTGACGTAACCGCCGGGGTCGTAACACGATCTCCTCTCCTCCGTTAGTCTCGTCCTCAAGGCCTGCATAACCTAGCTAACCCCAATCTTGTTCCTGTACGTCCCAACCTAGACTTGTTTTTATTCATGTAAGCTGAGAGAATGGCAGGGCGCGTAACCAAATCTCAGCATCCGAAAACTAAGGAGGGTAGCAAACTTTCTGAATATATCGCCCTCTACCGAGATCGAACCATGCCGTGCTCCCGTTGCTTCCGTCAGAAGCTCCCATGTGTTACGAAGGGCGACCAGTCGTCTTGTTGCGGGAATTGCGTTGACGCGAAGGTGATCTGCGATGGTGCGGGGGTTGCTTCCTATCGTGCGTCCTTTGGTAGCTCTTTGGTTGCAAGCGCTGACCGTGTCCTAGTGACTCGAAATATGAAGGAGTGTAAGAAGTTGGAAAAAGAGGAGCAAGAGGCCGAAGAGGCTCTCGAAAAGGCTATGGCTCGCCTTGCTTGGATTCGAAAAATGAAGCGTCGCCTTAAGCAGCAAGGTGATGAGTTGTTTGCTCGAGGGATGCAATCTTTGGAAGATGCAGAAGATTCTGCTGCCGTCCAGGCGGAGTCGCTGGCGATTTCTGATGTCCAATCCCTGGGCGCTGTGGATTTGACCGATTGGGCTTCCATTTTTGCCGACGTGCCTTCTGTTGTCGATGAAAACTCTTCACCAGTTTCTGAGCGTTGACATGGTGTTTCGGGGTTCCTATCGCATGCACAGATGGACAGCCAAGATCAAATGAGCACTTGATTTTCTATTTAAAGGAGCGACGAGAGTCGGTCTCTTATACTCATGTTCAGTCTGCCGGTCGTCTAGGCAGTAGGATGCTGCCTGCGATTTAGAGTTCATGGCAACTGTGAAGTTATCCACGATGGTCGTGATCCTTGCCCTTGACATTTCCTTTGTACTTTCGCTTTCTGGGTAGTTTTTCCACTTGATCAGGTTCTCCGTTTTGCCGTTCTGTTTTCGCATTTCCCTGATTGCCTCTGCTTCGTAGACTTCTGGTCCTGTGATTTCTCGTGATTCGTTACCGGTTTGGGGTGTATCGTGTCGGCTGCTGATTCGAGTAATGAAACGTGAAAGATTGGATGGTACTTGACTGTCGATAGTAAGTTCAGTTCGTAATTGTTTTCTGAGATTTTCCGTATGGCTTTGTAGGGTTCGATGAATTTGTAGTCGAGCTTTTTGCTTGGTCGGTCTGTGTTGACGTTTTTGGTGGCTAGGTAGACCATGTCTCCCTCCGAAAAGGTTGGTCCCTTCAACCGTTTTGGATTGTAGTAGTTGTTCATTCTGTTTCTGACAAATTCGAGTTCTGTTTTCATTTCTTCGTGTAGGTTCTTCAAATCGTCGCTCTTGAGTATGGCGGCTGGGTTGATTGTTTTCGGGTCTCGTGGTGGATGGAAAGCGCTGGGCGTGAATCCGAAGTTCGCGTATGCTGGTGAGTCGCGTGCTCTCGTTGTAAGCGGTGCTATAGGCGAGTTGGGCGTCCGGTAACTTCTCAACCCAATCGTTCTCTTCGTAGTTGATGTAACACCGCAAGTATTGCTCTAGCACCTGGTTCATGCGTTCTGTCGGTCCCTCTGTCTAGGATCTGAATGCCGTTGATAGGCGGTGATTTAGTCCGAGATGCGCCATGAGTGCTTGCCAAAGTTTCGATGCGAATGTGGTTCCTCTATCCGTTAGGATTTCCGCTGGTAACTCGTGTATACTGACGATATTTCTGTAAAAGACATAGGAAAGTTTTGTATGTATGTATGTATGTATGTATGTATGTATGTATGTATGTATGTATGTATGTATGTATGTATGTATGTATGTATGTATGTATGTATGTATGTATGTATGTATATGTAAGTATATTTTCCGTCCCTAGGTCCATTAAACCCGATAAGTCCCATACTGGGGCACAGGGCGTGCTGAGCTAGGGGTCGCTATCTATAATCTAATTACACAATGCGCGCATTTTCTGCAAGACACGATAACAGGCCACACTATCCAGCATATCATCGGCACAAACGGCGCATCGTATCGAGCCTGTTACCCGTCAGCGGGATGAATAGGCGTGGCTGATGAACAGTAGCCGCAAGACAAGCCTGTTACCAGGCAGGCTATGGCAAAGTCATGGCTGCCTCAGGTAGTCACGGCCAGATGAAGAGCATATCAGCGTTCTTCATCTGACCGAGTCCAGGTAAGAAAGGGAGGTAACAAAAGAGATGCATAGGACATAAGGAGGTAAGGAGGGGCGTAAGTGCGTCTCGGGTCGTTCTTGTCTAATAGCGAGCCCAGATCTTTCCGAAGAAGGCGCTCGCTTTGGATAGTTCAATGAACTTAGTGAAGTCGTTTTCTATTGCGAGGTTGACTGCTGCTGCATTCGGTGAGGGTGCGAGCCTCGTCCGATGGCGCAGCGGTACCTTTCTGCAATAGAAGATGTGATCCAGTACTTTGCCTCGGTTGCATGAGCAGACCAGGTGTGCGTCGCCATGGTCGAACCTCTCGTGGTATACAGCGAAATCTCCGTGGAGGGATCTCGCTGCCAGCAGACGGTGCAAGCCTGCCCGCCGGAGCTCGAGCTCCGGCGGACAGCCTGTGGACGCCTTGAGATTGAGTCTCTTATACTGCTTAGGAGCGGCGGTGGACCACCACGTCTCGAATGCCTCTTTCGGATTCTGTCTCGCGATTTTTCGCAGATAAGTCAGCGTTGGTCGAGTCCCTTCGGGCTCAGGGAGCAACGATGCTGCTTTGGCCAGTTTATCGGCTCGTTCGTTGCCAGGGATGTCGGTGTGTCCTGGCACCCAGCGTACCTGTGTGGCTCTATGCGATGCCGCCAGAGCCTGAAACTCGAGAAAGACGTCCTGAGAGGAGTCAGATGGTGTGCCTCGCAGGCATGTGGCGGCCGCGAGGTTATCTAGACAGACTATGATGTCTTGTGTTGCTGAATCTTCCAGGGTTAAGGCGGCTCTAAGGCCTTCCAGTGCCCCTGCGGCTTCGGCATCAAAGACCTCGGCCGGGCCAAGGCGACCTGATCCGTCGAGGACGGGGAAGTTGCCCTGGTGAATAGTGAAGCCGTAGCTGGCAGCTCCCTGAGGGGAGAGAGAGCCATCTGAGTATACGACTAGGGTGAGCGGGTCGAGTGACTGCATCCAACGGAGGAAAGCGTCGGTCGTTTCCTTCTTCGATGCTGTCTGCAGCGGTGGCATTTGTTCTTGGTTGAAGCATTGCTGGATGAGCTTCGGTCGCGCGCACGGCGCAAGGAGCTCATCTGTGCGTCGAAGACGTGTTCTGAAGCTGCACTCTGCCTGTGCTTGATATCTTCGTTTGATGAGGTCGTGGTAAGCAGGTTGGCTGGGCGGCCGCGTTCGACTCACCAGAGGGTGAGCCTCGTCAAGCGATTTAAGTCGCGCAGAGAATCGGAGTCGCCGCGCTTCGAGGAGTTGAGCGACTGGCGGTATCCCACTTTCTCGGTGGAGAGCAGCAGTAGGTGTTGTCTTCCAGACGGGCAGTATAGCTCTCATAGACTGGTTCATGGCTTTGGTCATTCGCTGTATGAGATGTTGGTTGCTTGACGGTAGGTCTTTGGTAGGCTGACTCCATTGCGGCCTGGTTGTGCCCGGGTACCAGGCCTCGGCGCCATATAGTAGCACTGGCTCGACGCATGCCCTGACGGCACTTCGTACGGCAGCCGGCAGCCGGCCGTGTTTTATGTTGGTGAGTCCTCGCAGATGGTAGGCCACGGCTTGCGCTTTCGCTGCCCACTTCTCTACATGGATTCGGAACGATAGCCCGCTGTCAAGCCAGATGCCCAGCCAGCGTAGGGCTGGCTCAGGATGTTTCTCGATATCTCCGTGACGTACCGCCGGGGCGGTCCTGAGTTTGCTACGAGAGAAATGCATGACTTCAGTCTTCTTCGAGTCGAAGGAGACACCGTTTGTCGCTCCCCAGCGCACCATCTCGTCGATGGCCCCGGAAGCCATAGCCGTAGTTTCGTCTACTGTGTCGGCTATGGAGAGGATAGCTGTATCATCTGCATAGCCGAAGCGGCCTTGGGGGTTGCCGAGTCGGTAGATGGGCTCTGTATAGAGCAGGAAAAGAATCGGCGATACAGGCGACCCCTGAGGGAGGCCGCACTCGAGAGGAGAGGAGGATGTGAGGGTATCTTGATATCTGACACGGGCCGATCGGCCACTCATAAAGGACCCAGCCCATCTAGCCAGATGATTGGGCCATCCTTGTTCGCGTAGACGCAGCACCAGCCTGTTGCGCAAGACGGTGTCGAACGCGCCTTGGATGTCCATTGTGACCAGGGTGGCCACTTTTTTGCGAGCAAACGCCTCTTCGATATCATGGATCAGGGCGGTCACTAGGTCTGTTGCCGACCTTCTGGGGAGAGCCCCAGCTTGTTGTGGGTGAAGGACGCTGTAGTGAATAGCTGCCCATGCTAGACGGCGTGCGATCAGCCGTTCTAGACCCTTGCCGAGGCAGGAGAGCAGAGAGATAGGTCGCCAAGCCCATGGCGACGTGAGATCTCAGCGTCCGGGTTTGGCGATCATGACCACTTCCGCCTCCCTAAATGGTTTCGGATGGTGGCCTACAGAGAGGCATCTCTCGAATAAGCGGCGGACGTGCGTCCCGATGATATGCCATACGGCTTTAAGAAGGTTAACGGTGATATTATCTGATCCAGGAGATGTATTGCCTGTATGGAGGGTCGCATACTGCGCCTCGTCTAGGCAGATTTCGAGGGGAAACGGGATCGGTCTAAGAGGAGAGACGAGCATCCAAGGGTCTTGGATGTCGTCGTCTGCAGTTCGTCGTTCCAGCGTGGCTCGTCGGAGTGCGTTAGCCTTGTCTATCTGAGATTCGTAGACGACATCGTCAACCTGCAGTGGTGGCGGCTGGAAGGGCCCTGGGGACTTCAGCCACCGAACGGCTTTGAAAACAGAGCTACTGTCGGAGAAGGTGTCGATGAGATTCCGCCAGTAGAGCCTTTTGGCTCGGCGGACTACGCGATGGAAGTCTCGTTTGGCGATTTGGACTTCCTTGTTGAAGCCAAGGGGGTAGAGTCTTCTGATTGCACGAAATGCAGCTGCGGCGCCGGCGCATTCTTGGGTCCACCAGGGAGCAGTTCGTGCGCCCTTCCGTGCGGATCGGCCAGCAGTCTTGGTTGCTGATGTCAGTAGATTTACGAGTGCAGAGGCAAGCTCATCAAGCTCGGATTGGGTCGAATCAGCTGTGGGGAGCTCAGCGGCTCCAAGCTCTACGATCTCAGCGAATCGTTCGAGCTCGTCATCTGTTGTCACCCGAACCCTGCCCGGTTGCATCGGGGCTAGTCCCGCATCGGGAAGGGTAAGGCTGAGTGTGAAGTGGTCAGAGCTAGTGGCAAGGTGATCTTCGACGGTAGCTTCAGCAAGTGGCATATTAGTAAAGGCAAGATCGATCGTGTTGCCGTGTGGGTTTGTTGGAATATCTGGAGTGTTAAGTAGGTCGAGATCATTTTCTGATGCTCAGTCTGCAATTTCTTGGCCACGGTTCGTCGCTTGTCCTGTCTGCCAAGTATGATGTCTGGCGTTAAAGTCGCCGGCGATAAGGCAGCGTTCCGGAACAGGCCATCGTATCAGCATGTTCAGGGCATCACTCTCGTTGTTCTAACGATAGAAGTTAACTATCGTCATGCCGTTAATTGTAAGCCATAGAATATCCCGAGTCTGAAAGGGCCGGATCTGATCAACCAGGAGCCTTGGGTCTCGTCGGACATATGAACGTGTCGTATGCGGGATGGGTTTTAGTCAGGGAGCGAGTGTCTGTGTGAGCAGTCCACGGCTCCTGTAGAAGGACGATGTCGTATCGTTCCGAGTCGGCCAGCGCCAGGGCGCAGTCGTGGGCCGGGGGGATCTTGCCGACGTTGGCCTGAAAGATCCTGAGCGGCTTCTTGTTTTTCTTTCGTGTCTGCGAGTATCTATTCCTGGTCAAGAGGGCGAGTGATAAGAACTATGCGCCGTTTTCGCGGTGAGCCTGGTCGGGGATGCTCGGGCTCCTCCGCTTCGTATCCCGCCTGAGGGCTTGTGGCCACCATGATGCACGAGGGTGCTCCTGATGCTGCTGGACTTGGACCACGAATGCTCGGCTGTTCGTGTGATGCGATGTCGTCGCTTTGTTGGGCTTCCAGATGCGACTCTGGTTGTTGTGCCAGGTGTCGTTGTCGGTATGCCTCTGCGCCAACGGTCCGGACATGTCCTCGTTGCTCTTTGGTGAGTCGGCGGAGCACGCCGTACACTCTCTTCGGCCGAGCTGGGCACTTATGAAAGTTGGCTTGGTGAGGGCCTAAGCAGTTGATGCACTGTTCTGGTGCAGTACAGTTGTCTATAATGTGGCCAGTCTTACCACAACGTTGGCAAACTGGCTGTCTATGACAGTTGCGGGCAAAGTGGTAGCCCCAACACGTCTCACATTGTCTGGGTCGGTCGGTTTTGTCAATCAGTCTCGCCGCGCTGCTGCCAAAGAGCGACCAGAATCTCTTTGTGGGCTTCAGAAACGACACAAGTAGAGTCTTGGTCAAGGGGTTGTCCGAGAATTGTCGCGAAGGAGGTATATCAACAGGCTTGAGCCCCGTCTGGATTTCTATCTCGTCGCTGACGATGCTGTCACTTTCCACCTCTTTACCGTGAAAGTCGGTCAGTCTTGTGGGGAAGTCTGAGACTACATAGGTGAACCATTCCTTGTTCGTTTCTACTGTCGTAGCTCCCAGTTCAGCCGCCCACTCGGCCTGCTTCTCTACGAGAAAGTCACGTGTCTCAGAGTCGGCAGTCAGGACGGCCCATCCCGATCTGACCTGGAACACCTGTCGAATCTTGTCCGAGACAGCTCCCACTTTTTCCTGAATCAGGGTTCGGATTGCATAGCTACTGTGGGCTCTGGCCGGAGCCCCGGCTTCTAGACGGATGAAGACGCGGAGGTCTTGTCGGGGTGGGGCGATGGTCCTTGGTTGCCCTTGGCGATGAGGTGGATCTGTTTGGCGGCGTCCATGTTGTTGTTGTTGTCTGTGGGTTAGACGGCCACGGTCAGTGGGAGGCGAGGCAGCGGCTACGCTGCTGTAGGTAGGCTTGGGGATGGTAGGTCCGGCACTGGAGACCTCTCGTTTCTAGGAGTTGAGGAAGCTGTCGGCAAACTGTTGAGCGAAACGTCGTTGCGGTCCAGTGGTGAATTGTTGTGCGGCTTCTTCGAACTTGGCGCAGAAGGCCTGGAATACCATAAGTTTGGCATTGTACTCCTCTACGCGTTCGCGCGCGAGATCATTGGCTGATTCGATGATAGAGACTGGTTGCTGTTCAAAAGTCGATGAGGGGCTGGCGCGCATAGCTCCTTCCGTAGCTGCAGCAATGGTAGCGGCAATGAGTGGTGAGGATGGTGTCTGAGCCATCCGCCTTAATGTTTGACCTAGCTCTTTAGCTCGACGCCAAAGAAACTCTCGTCGTCTAGTTTACCAACCGTTCATGCCCCCCCCCCCCCCATGGCTGAATTCCGCGCTTGCGGGGGACCCGTCGTGTCTGTCTCTCAGCTGTCAGAAAAGCCTGACTAGAAGTCAGCAGAGTACACCTTTCTCCAACGCTATGAATCCAGGGTACGCGTTTTAATTAAATTGGTCGTGCCAGTCGGCTACAGTGGGGGGCAAGTATTCGACCTCCTGCTAGCTCGGACTGCCTGGCTAGCCTATTTGGGCTTTCAGAATGCTACCCTAAGAGCATAAAACTTCAGCCTTGCACAAAATCGGCCTGTCTAACCAATCATACCTCTCATTGTATAGCCACAGCTTGACGAATCAGGGTGGTCAAGACTTTCAAGCTAACAAGAGGTCGAATACTTCTTGCCCCCCACTGTAACCGACGCCCCGTTGAGTCAGGATCAGGGGTTTTCGGGTACTTTCATGATGTGACAGAGGGCCGGGCAGTGCAGTATCGATCCAGCTAACTCAACAGGAAGGGGATCATCGCAGCCAAGATCGTCCTTGAACTTCTTGGCTGTCTCACGTTGCTTTTTCCCGCCTAGCTTTCGTCACTATTTTCCCCCTTCTTTCAACTTCAATTGATCGACAATGGCGGCGATACCGGTGTTTAGTGATATCTTCTGGCTGGTACGACCTCGTGTCGCAATTGGTAGTGCTTGAGCTGACAACTCCCAGCTGCAAGAAGCCGGTCTTCTCTTCTACAGCTACATCATCCTCAAACGAGTCCTCCGAGGCCTACGATGGAGAGTCTTCTCTTCACTCTTCTGGACAGGTATGGCCGGTATTGTCGCCGTCCGCATTATCATCATCACCTTCCGAGTACGCTCTATTCTAGCCGGTAACGAGGATTTGTTGGCCACTATCAACCACATCCACATCGCATATTTTGGTCTTATCGCGACGCTCGAATGTATCAGCGCCTACTTCCTAATGGTCCTCTTCACCTCGGCCAAGGCCTCATCCGCCGAAATTGCACGCAGTGGTGGTCTCTTCCAATACTTAGCTCGAAGCACAGAGATGAGAGTCGCGCTTCTGGCCCTACAGGGCACCCTTCGCGCTGTCACGAATTCGTTCAAGACGACTGGTCAGACGGCGGAGAATATCGCCACGCAGCTCGATCGCTTTTTCTATGCAGTATTTTGCCTGTACTCAATGGTTCTGTAGTAAGTTTCTTCTGTTGCCCTACCTTTGGGTAGAGACTGACATCTATAGCATTCATCTCCTTTCTCCAAAGCTCAAGTTCAATGGTACTCACGACTACCCATCTTCTCGTGATCGTTATGTACATCAGGGCAGTCAGCCTGGTCGTTTCACGTCAACGCAAAAAGATGACTTTGCTCAAAACAGGACCGAGCATGTGGTGGGAGTGGACGGAGGTACACGCACACGCAAGGCGCGCAATGACTCAACAGACCATATAATTGAGGGCGGTTCCTCGCAAGGTGGCTCAATCAACCTGGAGGATATGGACCTCAAGGGCAATGTCATCAAGAAGACGGTCGAGTTCAGGGTGGTATAACGTTCGTGCGCATGCTTCACACTTATAATCTCATACCGGTATTTCATATTGCGTTGCATTTAAATAATAGATCTCAAGATTAATGATTATTAATGTCAAGTGGTAAAAGGTCACTTTTTTATCAGCTTCCAGTTGAAGTCTATTATAGAACTGAGCAGTAACAGTGATGAACGGGTGATTCCAGGGCGATCTGAGACCCAGGTAAAAGTTATTAGCATCAACCACCGCAAGCAAAAGTTGATCTCGTCTGATGTCGTGAACCCTTGTTGAACTGCTCTCGCTCAGCCTGAACAAGATTAAAGATTGCTGCCGCTGCCTAATTATCGCCTTGAGTACCATTTGGATCTGAACTGCCGAGCGATCGTCCCCTGCTATCGGAGTTCACTCCCTAAAAGATAGACTCAGGTAGATCTTTCCTGTCGATCGGGCCCTTAGTACTCCATAGTGGAACCGCTAGATACCGGTGACTTGACCCGAATAGGGGGGTTTCACAACCAATAATAGTGACACGATAAGGGCATGTCGATCATCATTGGACTTGGGTAACCGAAGGTCCAAAAGTAGAAGATATTGAGTTTCTAGCGACCTTGTCGATCGAGGCAAAAACATACAACAGCGGGGATTCGCTGGTCGTCACCGACCCAACTACTGGACTGAACCGCCCAGCAGTCCAGAGGCCTTGGACTGGACCACCTGCCTTAATTAGATTGGTACCAAGGTCAAACTAAAACTTGGTGTGGCAATGAGGTTTCGGTGTTGTAGTGCCTAGGGTGGCTAGCGATAAGGTCTTTCCAGTGTGGGAAATAGGCGGTCCATAACGGGCTCTTAGACTGGAAGACCTCGCATGCTCTTGTCATCGATAACAAGGTATTTGACGTGCCGTAGGCGAGACTGAAGGGCGGCTGCGTCGGCTGGAGGAAGGTTGGCCCACACTTTTGTTATACCATTTTATTTTATTTCGGAAGGTAGTAGTAACAAAGCAAACTCTAAGTATTTTCCCCACTTAGTGCTATGAGCAGCCCGAGCGCCCTGTTTTCTAGGGTTACAAAACCAATTTTACTCGAGTTCACCATAGACTGGGTTAGTAAACTCTCAAAAGGTCTTCCATTATGCTCTTTGGGTCACGATAGGATCTCAAGCATGGAGCTAACGAGCTGCTCATAGCACTAAGTGGGGGAAATGTTTATAGAGTTTGTATCGTTACTACTACCTTCCGAAATAAAATAAAATGGTATAACAAAAGTGTGGGCCATTAAACTATCCATAGAACATGGGTATTGAGCGGTGACAGGGTTAGGGACTTAAAGTTGTCCCGTATTATCACCAAATAACTGGGAAGGCATAACGGTTTCCTGTTGTTAGTTACGAATCCGCTCAAGAATCAACTGAATCAAGTCAAGGTCTTACGTCGCAGGCCGATGAAGCAAAGAAGAGATATAAAGGACGTCACTTGTCTTCATGCATACTGCCTCTTTTCTTACCCATCCACTCAACTCCTTTTAACACCCTTGTCCTTGAACCTTTACCACTCTCAAAATGAAGATTTCTTCTATCCTCGCCTTCTCCTCCATGGCCCTTATCGGCGCCGACGCATGGAGCTTCACCGTGTGGACCGAAGATTACCAAAAGGGCAAACACATGCACTTTAAGAGTATGGTCGCGGACAACAACTGCTACTCTATCCCTGATCAAATCACAAGGGAGCGCGTTGGATCCTTCACTTTTTGCAGCGCTGCCTGGACTCGCTGCTCGATTACAATCCACAGCAAGCCTGGTTGCACTGGTGACAAACTTGGCAGTGCGACGGCCGGCTCTCCCAAGGAATGGTACAAGAAGAGCACCAGCAAGGAAGGCTCCTATATGAAGAGCTTCAGAATCCAAGGCTGCAAGAAGGTCCCTATCGCGGACCTGGACGTCGATGTTACCAAGTGCTTGGATGATCCTTCTTATATTCACTAAAGGAACAAATGTATCGGGCGAAAGCCTCTCGGAAGGGCTGGATATTTTCTTTCTGGTTAGGAGGTAGGACGGAAGGCTAGTTACACGACCAGATATGATTGCAAACTCCGATACCTATTTTTGGGGATAGATGGTGCTACGGGAAAAGGGGGAACATAGTAAACCTTATGTATCCTAGCTCTGTGAGCATGGGATCGACGATATTTTAGGATGGATGCTGTCAAGATCAAGCATCAATACAATCAATTCAACTTGATCTTTATGTTGATGGAGTCAATCCTTCTCGATGGCTTCAACGTTGACAACTGATCTAAAATTGAGTGAGTGTGTGTGTGTGTGTGTGTGTGTGTGTGTGTGTGTGTGTGTGTGTGTGTATCGTCCGTCCATTGGCCGTAGGCGACTCAGGTCCCCTTCATGGGCACTGAAAAAGACGATTTAAATAACCAATCCCGCAATCACAACCCACCGCCCTGAATCAGCCATCGAGCAGCCTCCTGAGGCGGTCATGCCAGCACCCGTAGCCTGGACGAGGAATGACACAACATCGCCCCAGTCGAAAAGCTTTGTCATGACTGTGACCCTGACAATTGAGCAAGAAATTGCCGTAGTTCCGAGGCCTCGGATGAGGCGTCCAAGGGTCATGTAGATAGAACCGGCGAATAGTGAGGGTGGGTCTAGCAGAAGAACAGATTACACGATATACGGTCCGAGCTGATCTGTCGCATTCGTGGCAGCAGCACTCCCTGCGTAACCGATAGCCTCGACTAGATGTCAAGTCAAATATTAGTGACAGTCCTTGTAACTGAATCCAACGCCATTCGCATACATGGGCAAACCGTTTAAACGGTCGAATATTTCCTCAAACGTTTGAACGGTTCAAAAATATTGCAAACGGTTAAACGAACGAATAAACGATTTAAACGAACGAATGAACGATTTATGACGGTGAGAAATATCCACCGCGCCTGCTCTAATACCAGTCAAAATAATGCCCACTGTCATCGTCAACGTCCTGAGAGTCACCCTCCGGCCGTGGGATTCCGATTAGACCCATCTCATTCTCATGCAGAGGCCGTATGAGTCCTTGACGCAACCAATTGCCCGTACATTCAATCATCTCGACGGTTTTGCATGTGACTCGTAATCTATCCCATGAACATGTTCTTCTTGCCCCAGAAAACGTCCTCTCCGGCTCCGATGACTCTGCTGGGATAGAAAGAATGCAAATAGCCGTGCGGCTAAGTTTCTGATACTGCTTTCTCTGCTGTGGTTGACACCACCACTCCAAAGGCGTACAATCCGGAGGGATATCTGTTGCATCAACGTTGATGAAGCTAGTGAAATCATCCCTAACACTCGCGTTAATAGTCCTAACCTCCAGCTTCTTTGATAGTATCGCGAGTTGATTTAGCTTCTTTGCCAGCGGTGGTGGCATCGACGTGGGGGTGGAGGGATGGTCGCTGGGTTGCTCGTAATTAAATTCCTTTTGCCAGAATGTTGTGGCCGAGGCAATAGTATCTTCATGCCATTCCTTTGGCCAGTTCTGCTTGATATACGCGATGCGTTTACGGGGATCAAGGAGGAGAGCGGCGGCGTATACGGGAACCTCGTCAGTTAGGCGGTAGTATTTAGAGAGGATAAACCATCCCATATCGATGGCTCGAACCATCCGTTCGTCGGAGTGTTCATCCGACTGATATATCTTCTGATACAATGTTAGTAATCGACTCGATGTGGATAGATTGAAGGGTACCTGTTGTTCTTCGTAATGTAGTAACAACATATCCATTAGCATCAACGATTGTGAGATAGACGAGTCATCTCCCTCTGCATACAATGTTGCTGAAGCAAATGGCTGAAGAAATGTATGTGCTTTGCCTAGCAACTCCCAATCTCCAACTAATAGCCGATTGTCTCCGATGGCCTCTTCGTGATCAGACATGAAGGACTGGATTTTGTCCTTCTTTCTAATCGCACGATCAATGACCTGTTACCAGGACAGGGCTAGAAAATCGTTTAACCGTTCAAACGGTTAAACGATTAACATGCATAAACGTTTTAAACGGAACGAACGAACGAATGAACGAAAGTGCCCATGTATGCGAACAAGCTGTCCCCTGATCGCAAAAGGTTCTGCGTTAGACTTGTATGCTTTCCGGGTGAAGTGTATAATTGCCGTCTTTTCTGCCTCGAAGGTCGCGCCACTTCTCCTTTCGTAATCCAGTGCCTTCTTGATAATTTCTTTCATCCCATCACGGTTGCTTTCTGCCGTTGGACCTGTTACCCAGGCCGTGAAATCATCCACAAACGCTATTGGTCCCCATAACATAGAGTACTACAGTTCATCAGCAACCCGACTCCTTCCAGCAAATTTGTACTTGTATCCCTATTGGGAATTTGTGAGCGATGTAAGCTTCGAATTGTGTCACAATGTGGACTTCTCTGCGGTCTGGTTCTCAGGTTCCTTGCCTTTAACGAGCTACGAAAAGTGGTTTGACTCCATAGCATACTATAAAATTAACGTTTGATGACACGCAAGTGACGCACTCTAGTGTGGTTGAAATGCAAAAACCCCCCTCCCGCATCCTGTCACATTCAGCCCACTGACAGCAGCCACCCACTTTTCGGCCAATGGTTTCACAACACCAATAAAAGCTTACCTCCTGAGAGGTAGTCAGTATTTTAGCGCCGATCGACGCTGACCAAACTTAAAGTTAGCTGCGCCGCAATTTGCGGGCGCGGTCGTCGCTTAGAGGATAGGTTCCTGGATCTTGCCTGCTGAAGGCGCCTATTAATCCTATTTGCCCATATCGCATACCCCCCTCTGACATTTACGAAGCATGCTATCCACATATTAAGCCGTATTAAGGAGCACTTTAACTAACCTATCGCCTAGTATCAGTAACGAGATAGAGAATTTACCAATTCTAAAGTCAGTATAGTAGGAAATAGTGCCGGGCTTATTATTCCACATACTCTTTGGGAGAAGAACTACGGCCAGAGAACAGTTAAAGTTAGCCCGCCTTTGGCCTCGAAGATCCAAGCCTGACCGCCAGCTCACAGGCGTCGTGTTCCGTTAAGACGCAGATAAGTGGCACCGAGACCAACACGACTACCCCGATGGACAATCCCAACTCAAGGGATCGTCTTCATACGAACAACACCCTTCGATCGCGCGGTATATCCAATGCCTCCAATCATACCTCTTCTAGTTCGGCAAGTTCCTCTGCGATTTCCATTCCTCTGGAAGCTGCGTCCCAGTCGCCCTTGGATACCGCCTGGATTTGGTTGGCCAAGAACCGGTTCCCCCGAGACTGGCAGGAGACATTCAAAGCACTTAACATCCATGGAACCCAGTCCTTGGAGCCCGAGGCTGGCCGCGGCCGTGGTAACTCTAACCAGCAAGTATACCCTAAACTCGCCCGAGAATGCACAGATAGCGGAGCCTGTTGGGGCCAGCCGAGGGAACGAGAGGAAGGGCAACTAATGGGACAGCTTATTCAAAGCATCGTTACCGGCCGGTCGGCTGAATCTACCAAGAGCTCGAGTTCACACGGCCAGAACAAGTCTTCCAGTGGTGGGCATGGGAACAATCTACCAAGCGCTGGAACCGATCCTGATCCCAGTTTGGACCGGCCCGGTTCGAGCTGGGGACCAGGTCCAGAAGACAGGAACGACCACCAATCACATCAACGATCAAAGACAATTAGCCCTGTACGGACGTATGTCCTTGCTACCATGGACTATTGGCACTACCGAATGTGCGATATCACCGAAGCGGAGACGGCGGCCGACATTCGCCAGGCCGTCTGTTTGCATCTGGGTTTGGGAGACTACGAAAATTCCTTGCTGTACCTTACGGAGGTTGGCAGGTTTGATCATGCCGATCCTCTAGATGACCAGAAACTTGTTACCACCAAACAGATTAGGGGAGATCCAGTGGGAACTCTCAAGTTCTTCGTCACACCTCCGGCAGTCCCTCCCGCGACCAGCGGCCTTACAGCAAACCCCAACGTGCCAGCATCCTTAGGTTATTTGGAGCCTGGGCTTGATGGCTCGAAACATAATCCGCGGCAGCGGTCAAGTACTTCACCCCCTACCTCCAGGTCTAACACATCGACGGATAACAAGATCGATGAGAAGGCTCTCTCGCAAGAGGCAACCTCATATGGCGTTGAGATGGAGAGAAAAGAGCGCGAATATCTTGCGATGCGGAAGCAGGCAGCAGCGAAGGGTAGCCCATTTAAGTCGGTTGGTCCAGGCATAACAAGCAACAGAGTTGTTGATTCGATCAACCTCGAAGCTCGCTGTCCCCTCAGAGACCGCCTCCGGCACCGCCTGCTAATGATGATAGCGACGATGATTTCGATGATGGCTTGTTCGCGATCCGTCTGGCAAATCGAAGCAAGGGCAAGGCCTCTGCTGAGAAACAACAGGGACATGACGCAGTTGACCACGATAAGCAGCCCAGTCTGACAATGAATACTTCTCGGGCTGAAAAGGGCCTTTCAGTGTCCTTTACATCTCCACAGTTTATGCCAAGCGCTGTTACACTTAACCCCAACGACGACGGCGTAGGACTTTCTCGTAAACCACCAGCAACCCCTCGATCCGACTCTAGGGCATCTAGTGAGAAGGACAGCAAGTTGAGCCGACGGAAACCGTTCATCGAAAAGGACGTTTGGGCTAACTGTCCTCCAACGGATGCCCTGATTAACAACCTCGCTGACTTCTTCCCTAACTTGTATCTTGATCAACGAGTTCTAGAAGAGGGAGAGGGTGGGGAGATACTTCCATCTCCTATCGCCGAGGCAGAAGAGACCTCTGGGGGCGCACCTAAGGCGACGCCCGAGAGAGCGCAAGGAGTTCCTGCAGCTGAACCCCCTACCGATGGTCTGCCTGCCGTTACACCCAGCCGACCGCCCTCTCTTTACAATGAGAACGATACTCATGGTTCTGATGAATCTACTCTTAAGGCTCCAGAACGACCTACTCCTGTGGCACAGAGAAGTCTCGGCCGTTCTAGTGGACTTGACCGCATGATATCCATTCGTGAAGTTGTCGTGGCGCTCACGAGGGCAATACACGTATGGCTAGCACGTCTCAGAGCAGAGGACAGGCCTCCGGCAACATTGTGCAGTTCCGCCCGGATCGACGTGGCAGCATGATCACGCCCCAGAATCCTCAAGATACCCTCCCCAAGAGGCAGACAACATTCCGCTGGTTCAAGGGTCAACTCATTGGCAAGGGCACCTATGGTCGTGTGTACCTGGGTATGAATGCCACTACTGGTCAATTCTTGGCTGTCAAGGAAGTGGACATCAACCCCAAGGCTGCTGGTGGTGATAAGCAGAAGATGGAAGAATTGGTCGCGGGACTGGACCATGAAATTGACACGATGCAGCACTTGGACCACGTCAACATTGTGCAATATCTCGGATGCGAGCGCAAGGAAACAAGTATCAGCATCTTTCTCGAGTATATTTCTGGTGGCAGTATCGGATCATGTCTCCATAAGCATGGCAAGTTCGAAGAATCCATTGTCGCGTATCTCACCCGACAAACGCTCTCCGGATTGGCATACCTGCATCAGGAGGGTATTCTCCATCGAGATCTGAAGGCAGATAACATCCTTCTGGATGTAGATGGCACTTGCAAGATCAGTGGCTTTGGTATCTCTAAAAAGACAGACAACATCTACGGCAATGACAAGACGAACAACATGCGAGGCTCGGTGTTCTGGATGGCTCCCGAGGTCATTCGATCACAATGCGAGGGATACAGTGCCAAGGTAGATATCTGGAGTCTGGGTTGTGTGGTGGTGGAGATGTTCGCAGGCCAACGACCATGGGCCAAGGAGGAGGCGGTAGGCGCCATCTACAAAATTGCCAATGGCGAGACGCCACCGATCGCTGAGGACATCCAAGGAACCCTTGGTCCGCTGGCGGTGGCGTTTATGATGGATTGCTTCCAAGTGTGAGTGCTTTCGGATAAGGATTTCCCTGTTATTGATGATTGGCTAACAACGAACTAGGGACCCCTTTGATCGTCCAACGGCAGACGTACTCCTCTTACAGCATCCATTCTGCGAACTCGAACCCAACTTTAACTTTCATGAGACATCATTGTACGCCAAGATTAAGCCGATGCAAAAGGAAGGTGCGAAACCACCCCAGTAAGAGGGCTGCGGCCTGGAAGAGAGGGGAGGCATTTTTAGTTAGGCAATTTTTGAGGGGGATATCATACAAGCTTCTAAAGAGAACGAGGGATAGGTATAAGCATGAAGGAGACAGAGATGGGCGTTCTTTTGTTTGGCTGGTGTCCTTGAAGCTGCTCTGCTCGCACTGAGTGATGATTTACACATAAGGGGTAATTAATGGGATAACATGATAGCCCCGATAGTGTGCATGATAGGATACAGGGTTTTATTGTGACGCGGCTATGTGTAGCTAAATGATGCCTACTACTGTACAAAGGACCGTCCGAATCCCGCCGCATTATCTACTTTTCGTCCGTGCCAACCTTGGTGACCCCTACTGTACCAATTACCCCCAGTATCAGGTCCGGATACACGATTTGATGAAATCGTGGCCCGTGCACGCAACGCACCCCTATCACATTAGATCAGACGGTTTATGTCACGAGCCCTGATTCTCTGATGTGTCTCATTGGATGTGTGTATGTTCTTGGTTGGGTTGCTTCCCCGCTCTAAGTCCCATATACATCTTTATCCTGGGGTCCGACTAGAGTATCACTGCTATAACGATCGCACGCCCCATTATGTAAAATACACAACGTGACAAGATCACCAGTTTTGTTGGATGAGTGATAGCACCTCGATAAAAAAAACGTGTATTTTGTGGGTCCCCGGATATATCAATACCGGGTGGGGGGGGGGGGGGGGGAAATACCTAAAAGGACAGAACAGAGACAGAAGAAGAAGGACGAGCTCCTGGGGACAAGATTGATCCTCAAGTGTGAAAATTAACCCCATTTTAATTGGACATCAACCCCACTCGCGTATCCAACAAGTTTCTGCTCCATAATCCATTGAATTCACCCCATCGTGCGTATCCAACAGAATCAGAGCTCGTGACACACATAGCTCGCCCTTGCATCATCAAGCGTCATCACCTCTTCCTTCTCCCCCTCCTTTCCCATTCCACGTCTTTTATCCCTGTCGTGAATATCTAAAGGTTTTCAATCACCTCTTCTGCTTCTTTTTACTGTTTGTTATTTTTGCGCCATTGCTTATCTTATTGAACACGTTCTCGACTGGTTGTGTCTCCATCAAATACCACACAATACTCTGCAAAAGGACACTTGGAAAGAACCTTAATACTCCTCGCGATAAGATACCTTTGCCGAACAGCAACTTCATCGAACAGTTGCGCAATTTAGTGGACATGGCGACCTCACATTCTTCTGCTACATCGACCACTCCGTCGCGCAACGGCAACGGTCGTGTCACATCACCAGACACGACGCCTTGCACATCGCAAGCGCCTGTCGCAACCCCACCTAAGAGGCACCCGCACCGCATCTACCAGCCAGCCAAGAATTCCCTTTACGACATCTTTCAGCAACATGCTGGCACGGCGCTCTTTGTGCGCCCCATCTGCTGGACTGATTTGCATGCTCAACTCCTCGGTGTGAGATGGGAGGAACTACCACCATGCGATACACCTCAGCCTACGATATCCCCAGCTACGCCACCTTCGCGAGGGCATCTCAGTCCGTCGAATACAATCATCATTCTTAGCAACGCGCTTACACAGATTCTTCTGCCCGACCCGATGCACCCTATCTTCACCTCCATTGCCGTCAAGACAGCCCTCATGAGGCTATGGCCTAAAGCCTTTAGCGAACCGCATTACTTACCCGAATTCCATCTATACTTTGGCGGTCTCGTTTATCGTGATGCTGTGCCCGCACAGATCATGTGGAATTTTCCCTCTGATGAGATGAAGGCTTCCTACGCTTCCTTCAGATCAGTCTCAACGTGGCCTGCCGAATCCTCCAACATCTCAACACAGTTCCCTCCAAATCAAAGCCATGCTAATCTACCCATGATTTGCTATGTTGGCAAGACCCAGCTGGCGTCAGTCCGAAACACCTCATTTCGCCTCGCATGTGGCCCGGGGAGATCATGGAACGAGCCCGTGTTTCGTCTCCAGCAACTCAGGGCTCGCATGCTCGTGCCTTCAAATCTGGATCACGATGCACACTTCGTGGGCATATTTTTAGGGATGGCGCAGAAGCATTTTTACCCTTCCCTACTTATCAATGGCAGACGCGACTCACGAATATCCCCAGAGCAAGGCATTCCGCCATGCCCTAACTTTCACGACCTCAAATTGAGGATCCTCACCCACGATACAGACACATTGGAGTTTATTGTCTACACTGGATACGTAACAAAGGAATTTTTGGAAAAGTTCCATGATCCGTTCAAAGCCCCGCTCGATGATGACGATGCTGCCGTTTCCGGCCTCAAGATCGAATACACAAGGGTTCCTATTTGGCCGATTCTAGGGCTACGAGAGAGACTTGGCAAAGCTTTAGGCCAGGAGGTTGTTGGTGCTTTTAATCCAGGCGATATAGAAACATGGGAGAAAGAGCCCGAGTAACAGCGGCGAGAAGCGCAAGCGAGAGGTCCTCTGAGTGATTAACAGTAGCTTCGAGGAGGTGTTTGATGACGAACCGGAAACGGTGTCAAAGAAGTGCTCCCAGAACTAGATTACTCCGGTCGGTGTGGTCATCTGGGAGTTGGAAGTTGCGAATGCATAGAACGAACAGGGCCTAACGCCAAAGAATGATGGTTTGGTGGTGCAGACACGCCCTAAGACCGAAACTCAACCATCAAGCCCTCCGTGAACGGATGATATGACTTGGAACCGGCGTGCGAATATGGAACTATGATACCATGGATACGAATGCGATGGTTCAAGGGGTGTTTTATGATGACTGCTGAACACACTATGGCCATGCCCGAAATTATCCTTTTCCCGCCAACTGTGCTCACCAGAGGCCATTCAGCTCTATTTCCTACGTTTTCATCGCCATTGCCGTAGAGAGATTTCAAATGGATTATCTCATCGATAAACAGAAAATACTGAATTGACCAGCATGAGATGAAATAAGGAATTGGGGGTAACTTAGTGTCGAGTAGGTGGAACGGGGAGCTGCATAGGACGGATTCGTACGGGGAAACCTTGATGATGTTGCCACTTGCCTAGGTAATGCAATGCTACTACCCTCGCATGGGTATCGCCAACTTTTCGAACAGCGTATGCCCCGCCCTCAACAGACGGCCCTTGATTCGGCCAGAACTTCGGATTACTCACCCAACAAGTGACATTCCAGGATAGCGATAGGATAAGCTATTCCCGTCGCTGACCCCTAGCATGAACGCAAACGTCTTCGAGCCGTAAAAGCACGATTAAACCACCAACAAAGTCAGGGGGAGACGCCCAGAACAACAACATAAAAACTTGATCAACCTCTACGACTGTTAACAGCTCATATATTCGCTTGAATCCACTCAGTTTATGATAATGCTAAGGAAAGGATAATTGTATGAGTAGTAAATGCAGTGGCTTGATAGATCGTGACAGAGCTCCTAATAATCCAGACCAAAAACTGTACTATTAGTCCAAACTGCAGTCTAGACCAATAGTCCACGGACCATTGGTCCAGTTTGCGTGTCTCGGGCTAAACTGACGGTCCCAGTCCGCGTGTCTCGGACTGGACTGATGGTTCAGTCTGACTTCTACCAGACCGACCAGTAGTCCAGTCCGAGGGTCGCAGACTAACAGCCTGACTATTAGTCTATCCCCAAGATTTGGGTGACTCAGAAAAAGCTTTTCCAAATCTATGGCTTGGTATAGAGTGCCAATTCAATTACGCGATCCAACACGTCCAACGCGTCACACGCGTTTGGGGAAAATTTCGACGTTATGCTAAGATATGCTAGCCGGTACTGCACAGCACTGCGTTACTATATGGCAAACCAAGTACCTTGCAGCTTAAACTATCGGCCTAACGAGACCACACAATTACATGTTTCGACCTGCTCAACAGCAACCTAATTTTATTACTTTGAATGAGCTACCTGGCCGGTTTCCAGGGAGAATATCTGCAAGGTGAGAGATGATGAAATGTATGTCATGTGAGAGGCGAAAAACCTCCCGGTGCCGTTAGGGGATACCAACCCCGCCATTACAGGTAGGTGGTATGCAAATGTATGTATGTATGTATATTTTTCGTCCCGGGGGCCATTGGCCCCGAAAAGTCTCCTAGGGGAGCATAGGACGTGCTGAGCTAAACTATCTACAATTGCTGTCGCATCCGAATCTACCTAGAACACCAGCAATGTCCACTTGCATCAACGGAGAGCGTCGGAGGCCCTTTCCCCCAAGTGGCACCCTCCTATCCGCAGGGTAGGGAATCAATCCACGACTTCCACGGTATTGATCAATATGTTGACTTCAATCCACGTCAACGTCAATCCACGAGACATGTTGTTACGTAATCAATCCATCCACGGTTGGGGGCTCGTGGATTGATATGTGGATTGACGTGGACGCTAGTCATGGGGATGGGTACCCTGATATATTTCGTTAATATTTGCTATGTATCTCTGCGCAAACACTAACAGATCTAACCATGCAAAACATCGGGCGCGTTATAACGCCTGAACCCAAATGTCCCCTCCTTTACTCGATTCATACGGTCGGTGAACCTTCAACTTCGAGATGGCGGACTTACCTCTTGACCCTGAACTACCGACCAACAACGAGGGGCATGCCGAGGTCCCTCGGCGTTCTCTGAATCCAGACCCCGAAGTCCGCCAGCCTTCTACGTGGGCACCGACAAGTGATGAGGAGCGCAGAATCTTCCGCGTCTGGAAGGGATTCACGCTGGCCGAGCGCAGCAAAGATACCCTATCATGGGTATGGAACTACGGGGTCGAGATTCAATCCAAAACATCCCGACGATGGATCTGTATGCCATGTGTGCGCCAGAAGACCCCCACGCCACAGTCATACGAATCCAAAGGCACCCAAAACGCTGAACTCCACCTCTGGAAAGCTCACGGCTACTGAGATCCATCAGGACGACGATCAACACCGTTAGAGAAGAAAGGAGGCAAGAGGGTTCTTGCTTCTATTTCGGACTTCATGAACCTCAAACGTTCCGATCCAAAGGAGCAAGCGCTGGCCAATAGCTTGATCAAACGCTTCGATCGAGGAGAGTTCCAGAAGCTCATTGTCAACTGGATAGTCGAAAGCCAGCAATCGTTCAAGCAGGTTGAACACCCTCGATTGCAACAGATTTTCGAATACCTCAATCCGGCGGTCAAGGTTACGAGTGCGCACATTACGGCGAAGACTGTGCACACACTGGCGGTTCAACAATTCGAGCGATATCATAGCACGGTCCAACAGGTCTTGAAGAGGTCGCCGGGTCAGATCCACATTGCCTTTGACGGCGCAAGGACTAGGAATCGTCACGCGTTATATGGCGTGACGGCTGTCTTCAGAGACACAGAATCAGCTCCAAAAAGTTGTGCTCGGCATTCCGGAGCTGGTAGAACGACATACTGGCGAGAACATTGCCGCCGAGATCCTCGAGATCATTAGGTCGTTTAGCATCGAGGACAAGGTCGGTTACTTCACTCTCGATAATGCAGCAAACAATGAAACGGCAATGTCAGAGATTGCAGAAGAGCTGAAGTTCGACCCAGTTCAACGACGAGTTCGATGCATAGGACACATCCTTAACCTTGTTGTTAAAACCCTTCTCTTTGGAAAGGATGTTGATGCGTTTGAGAAATCTCTCGTCAAGGAGGAGCCTTTGGCGAGAGCAACCCATGACCAGTGGATGCGGAAGGGTCCTGTCGGGAAAGCGCATAACTTCGTCGTTTGGGTCCATCGGGCCGACTTACTGACTCAGTTGCTTCGTCAACTGCAACGAGACTCATTTGCAGCTTCTGGCGAGCCTGAAAGTGGAAAGCAACGGCCAGTTGACGTTGTCCTTGACAACGATACTAGATGGTTGTCCCAATACTACATGATAAAACGAATGCTTCGCTTGCAGCCCGTCTACGAAGAATTCATCGCCAAAGCCAAGAGGCTATTCCGAGACGCTCGGAAAGGTGAGGGAGGACAGAATCTTCCTCCCTGCCTTGAGGAGTCGAGCTTCATCAACGAGAGCGATTGGGCGGTGCTGAGGACATTTGATGAGATACTCTCTGATTTCCACGTCGTTGTGCAAGTACTTCAGGGAGACGGACAGTCGCGATATCGATCGTCTGGAGTTAGGGAAGCTTTTGGTTCCGTGACTGATGTGCTGGAGGCGTTCGAATTCCTGCTTGGGAGGCTCGAGGACGCAAAATCGTGTATTGAGAGGCATCCTGAGCCGGAGCAATTCTGTGTCAATATCAACCTTGGCTGGAAGAAGCTCGATAAATATTACAATACTTTGAGGGACTCGCCAGCATACTACGCCGCCGCCGCCTTGCACCCTAGCCTACGATGGGACTATTTCGACGAGGTTTGGGGTCAACAGCATCCGGGTTGGGTCGATGAAGCGAAGGAAATCGTGCAACGTCTTTGGGATACGGAATACAGAGACCTACAGATCACAGTCACCTCTCCTGAAGGTCCGGTTGTGAAGAGGCGGAAGACGACTTTGTCCTCCTTTGATCGGTATCGCAACCGATACCGTCAAAGCCAACCCTCCGCTGCTCAAGCGGATGAATATATCCGCTGGCAGGCCAGTGTGTCTGGGAGCGACAAGGACGTCGCAGACCCAGTTGAGTATTGGGTCCTCAAGAGGTTTGAGTATCCAAGGCTATCTCGAATGGCTCTTGACGTCATGACAGTGCCGGCCATGAGCTCGGAGTGCGAGAGACTGTTCTCCGCCACCGGGTTGATGGTCACTCCCCTCCGAAACCGCTTAGACGCTGGGACGATTGGACTAATCCAAACGCTGCGATCTTGGTTACGCGCAGGCATTATCGAAGATGTCGATAGCATACTGTTTGACGATACAGCGTTACAGGAGGCTGTTGGACGGGCCGGCTTGGAGGAGCGCCAGGAGTAAGGCAATAGAAAGTGTCGGCGACGGGTTCCCGAATTGCCCAATTAGGAAATCCGAGTTAATGTGACAGGGGTCTTCCACGGGTTCAATATTATGGACATCAATCCACAGATGGCTTTGTGGACATCAATCCACGAGCACTTTGCTGAGTAAGCCGTCAATTCCATCCACAAAGTCGGATATTGACGTGGATGGATTGATTCCCTACCCTGTCGGTGGGGAGCGTAGAATTATCCGGGCTGAGCCAAAGCGCAGTCTGCGTCATGTCCTGAGATGGAATCGCTGGAGAATTCGCGGCAGGACCCCCCAATGCGGTGGAGGAAGAAAGCCTGATGGTACTGAAGGCTCACTAGGGCAGAGGTGTGGATTTAGGAATTCCCATTGCTGTTTCGACGAATCACGAGCCATCCGGAAAGGTTGAATGAGCGAGCCACGATATGGGCCTCCCGAATGCTGTGAAAAAGAGGGAAAAAGAACCTAAGTGTGCGACAGCTTTTGAAATCTTTGTTTCACTTTCACATCCGGTGCTATGTCTCGTCTTATATCATCTCACAGAATTCAGTACCCGCTCGTGAGCCATTCCCTCGGGACCTCTGGCGCTCGTTGTGTTGGTTCAGTGTTGGTTCAGTGTTGATTCAGAGAGCAATACTTAGTGCCAAGCACCGACGTTCTTCGGTATCAGTATACCTCCTTCTATCATGGATTCCTTACACCCTGTCTTATGCTGGTGATGCGCAAACAACGGTCTTATCACCACTAGAATCCCACTTAACACCGTTAAAATTAACTCGATTGGGTTAATTTGTCCCACTTAGAAGCAATCATTCTAATGCCATGCAGCGATTTCGTCAATATGTACCTGGTTCAGTGACCCCTTGGTGACACGCCGGAAATTTTCAACTACTAGGGCCCCCCGCGGGACAGGGAAGCTGCAGCAGGCAACATGATAGGAAAAATAGGGAAAGAAAGAAAAGGAAAGCTTAATGAGGACTGACAAGGCCGCGGGATTCTTTGATCTGCAAATAGCAACTTCAACTTCACTAGTAGAGGATTCGCATATATAAAATCTGGTTGTCTCTCCTAACTGTCGACGAGGTCTAAACAATTATTACATTGCGCAGTTCACATGACGCGTATGAGATGCGGCAAAGGCCGGGGATTACGGAAGACACGCAGTCGGCACTTCACCATCCAAGCAGCGAAGTCCCGACAGCTTGGGACCTAATTTAGCTCTGTGAACTCAAAGTGGAGAATGGCTGGGGTTGTGACCCTTGGTTTTTAATATAGACCTTGTTGTAACCGAGACCAGCATTGAAATTCCTTGTATGGGTATAGACGCCACGGGGAACCGGATCGCGGGAGATTCCGAGTACCTACTCCCAGACCCCGCGCAAGCCTCTTCTACTAGAAAAAAGATTGCTTTCCATCTCTACGGCTACCTGGGCCTCAACCCGGTCATCTTCTGCCTTGCTCCAATCTAGGTAGGCTATCATCTCCTCCTTGGTCCAGTCTCTAGATCCGGTTGGCATCGTACAGCATTTTCCCATCTGCTTCCAGTCAAGGCACCATTGGTAGCTTGCTTTATCGTATCGTAGAGGCAGACCTACCGCCTTCCGATATGCCTGGTTAATTTTAATACTTCCACGAGGCTGGGCCCTGTACCAAGCATCTCGAGCAGCAACATATCTCTGGTAGATAGCTTGTGGGTCATCGTATCTTAGTGTCGGCGCCACCCCTGCCTGCGTCGATAATGCTGCCGGCACTGTGTTGGCTGTGCCGCCGACATTAACAACGATACAGCTAGTCCTATCCCTATCTGGCCCGGCCTGCCCTGACGGTTCCGACGACGGTCCCGACGACGGTCCCGACGGCGTTGGCCTTACCTGCCCCGATGATTCCGACGATGATGACGCTGACGATTGTAAGATCTCCTCGTACCGCAGAGGGCATGCTTTCGAGGTCATCTTATGACCTAGTGTGTGGCATCTACTGCATTTAGGCAGTGTTCTCGGTTGTGCTACCGCCTCAACAACTGCCTCAAATGCGCTAGGCTCTCGCCTTGTGTTCGTTATCGGCTGATTACTCCTCTCGTTACGTTGGCTTGGGACTGTTCTGATGGGTTCTGGCATAGGCTGTGGCTGAGCTATATCTCGCTTCAAGTGCCAGTGGGGATGAAAATGTTCCAGTAAAAGGGCCTTCTTTTCTTCCTCCAGCTTTTTTAAGGTATGAACACATGGTAGTCCATGAGAGGATGTGAAGCTCTGGCTGCAGGGAACTTTAAGCGCCGAAAGCAACTGCTGTTGTTCTTGCACCTTGCGTAAAGCTGTTGGAAAATCCGGGGATCCCCCTTCCCTTCAGGGTTTAGACTGTTAGTCTGAAAGTCCTAGATTTAGAGTTCAAAGTCCTAGATGAAATCATCTAGAGATATAAACCCGAGAAGAACTCTCATCTCAATAATGAACAATCATGTTTCATAAAATATATTTTCACCCAGCACTACTGCGCAATATAAACAACAAGGTCTATAAGTTTCGGAAACGCATGTCTTTATACATACCGAAGCGCCAAAGGGTGCGTGCAGCCCAGCATCTAAGCACCGAGACGGATGAGAGGCTTACTCCGTACTAGACCTCAGTCATCTCATTCTTGGGGTTAAGTTCTTGCTCACTGCCGATCTGAGTTTTAAGTCAATAACTGGTGGGTTATTATAGTGGGGGCTCAACGCTCCATGCCTCGCTAGAATACAACCGCCATCTTCCCATACTATGATTGGCCAGGAGTCCTCGGAGCGAATCTAATCGTTCTGATTGGCCACTCAAAACTAGAAAGCAAGATGAGGCGAGGGCTGTGACTCGCGATGACGCGCCGCGTCTTAACTCAATCTGCAAACCTCGAGCGTCGCACCTGGAATATGAGGAAGAGAATGAGATGAGTTCGTCTGGGCAGCTGCGTTTAAGGACTAAGTTGATTCCCGTGGACTGATAGCCCAGGACCTTTGAATGGCGTATTGACGTGTATGATTTAAGAATAACCCAAAACGAGCACCATGCTAATCTCGACCTTTCTCACGTATGACTCGACCACTCTCGACTGCATGCTTTAAGCGTGACTTCCTCCATACATTCTCTCCAATAATCTGCTAGATAGCGTCCATCCACCCGCCCAATACATATCCTCCATAGGGACAAAACTCTCCCAGCTCTATGGCGGCCGTAGAAATATTTCCCACTCCATAGCCTATCCGTTATCATAGTCCGACCTTTGGACTCAAAGACTTATCTGGATTCTCGGGCGAAGGGTGTCGCTGGGAAGCTAGCTGGCGTTGGCAATCTCCTCTTTATCTTCGGTCTGGCATGATCAAGTTGGGCCTTACCCTTGGCTGGCCCCGGTGCTCGCTGATGCACATCGCCTCGTGAATTGCTCGAAGTCGCCCTTCTTCATACCTGACACTTAGTATCTTCCCGTGGTATGTCAGCTCCTCATCCTTGATGAGGATGAAGGGTATAGGGCGGAACCACATTTGCGGTGTTTGCGATATCTTGGTGTTGATATTGCCCTGCGTTAGGTCATAAACTCGCAACGGCCCTCTAGAGAAGATGGCACATCTATCCAGATATAGGGTACAAGTGCGGAGGACATACGTATGGTCACGGAAAATCTTTGTGAGACAACACACAACACATGACGATCCATCGATCATCGTGTGATCATGTATGTAGGGACCCCTGGGCTGCAGGATGCCCTGTTAAGTTTGAACTCGCCCCTCACAACAAAATGGTCTCGACCGCTGCGTTGGCCAATCAAGGCATTACGGAGGCTCCGTAAGCCCAGGCTTAAGGCTTATTGCCGATCAGGTGGTGTGGAGGTGACATTATCTCAGGCTTTGGTTGGTTATTGGACGTGTTTTTCTACCGGTATCGCGGCTTCTGACGAATTCAAGGACATTAACCATGGTAATCTCCCAATAGCTTACAAATTTAGCTTCGAGGACCTGGTCCTCGTATACACAGTCCCTTAAGAGTAGACCAACGGAGCTTTGAAGCGATGAGATATAAACTGGGGTTTCGGTGTGGGAGCGTTGACAAGCATCCAATCAAAACGGGCTGGAGTTTGAGTTTTCTCCCTGAAAGCCAAAGATATGGGGGTTTGGCACACAGTCCACTAATAAAGAGGACCCGGAACCAAGTCGAGTATATGGAGGGAGAAGGTATTCAGCGTATAAGAAGGGCAAAGCTTAAGGTCCGAGAGGGCTAGACCTCAAGGTGTCTCTCATTCCGAAAAGACACTATCATGTCATTATTACCTGAAGTTATCTCAAATTTAGCTTTAGACGCTTCAAGACTAAATGATTTCACAGCCTATCTTTCAAAAAACCATTGCCTAGAAACCTTTCAATTCATCCAAGATGCCTCGAGATACCGAGCTTATTACGCAGAGATAGTCGAGGATAAAGAAATCCCTTGGGAATATCTAAGACGCCATTACGATTACCTGCAGGAACTATGGGAAGATATTCTAGGCACTTACATCCTTCCTAACGGACATCGCGAGGTCAACCTTCCCTCTGAAATTAGGACTCGACTTCTTGGGTTACGTTCTTCTGCACTTCCTCCACATCCATCGGGATTAGATGATGCCGTGAAGACCGTCCTTGAGCTCATGGAAGACTCGATCCTACCTGGGTTCATGGAGTCTTATGAGTCGCTGGATCGACCTGGAGGTAGAGGAGAGGTTGGTGGTTGGAGGGGAGTTCTCTGCAGACTTCAGCGGAAAATCTCAACGACCACATCAGAACAGAACTACAAAGAGTCTGTGCCGCGGGCTTCCGATTCGAGAGATGATAGTGAGGCCACTCATTGTACACGCCGCCGCTTCCTAGCAGTCGCAGCCGCATCGCCTTACAACCATCTACGGCGGCCCCTAGGAGGGTTGTTCGACCATACTGTTTGCAATGTCAGGGGTATAAGATGGTTAAAGTTGCCGCTAGAGAAGGATGGAGCAGCAGCAGACACCGAGATCGATGATAGGGATGAGCAGGTCAGCGCAAAGCTTCTCGAATAAGCTTGTTGGCGATGGCCATAGCGGAGTATTCGGATGGCCGCAAATCAGTGTCTGGGAGAAATTCGCCAGTAGGATAGTGAAACCTACCCGTTATTAGGGTTTAATCGGAACTCATTGAATTAAAGCTTCGTTACGCGGAAGTATTTAGGTCAAAACTCTCAGAGGTCAGAGGCTGATGCATAGCAGTTTGGTGGAGTGACGAATGAAAAGATCAAGGGTTTCTGCGCGTTAGTGAGTACACTGGAATTATTACTGTCAAGGTGTCATATCTGAGAAGCGTCACAGCCTAGACGAGCTGACTATGCCGTGCTAAGGCGCATAGTAAATACTAAGCGATGAAATAGGAAAATCGGCTACAACCAACACTCGTAGTACAGCAACAAGCTTTTTCCTCTCAAGGCGAAGGGATAACGCAGATCATCTCACTGTCCCACCCCGAAATCTTGTGCATCTTCCTCTTGGGCAACTCTGTCTAGCCCGTCTTTCACCAATAAGTGGTTGGCCAAGCTGAATAATCGCCGGCTTGGCTGTAGGGTTCATCTCCCCCTTTGTCTGTTGATCCAGCGCCACCGAAGGCCTGACACCGACATGTCCTCGCTGCGACATCGACCTCATTCTGACCCTGACCTACTATTAGACTTCCTCCTTGTCTCAAACGGTTCTTCTGGACACGGTGACGTCGACTGAGTGTCTCATTCTCCTCTCGAAGGATCTATACCTTCTGACCTTAATAAGACGATCTAAAACACTATTCCCCTTGTTCCTTTAGCAAATTGATCCACTGCATTGAAAATAGATGTTGGAGAGTTTCCCTGATGCCTAGAGATGCGGTTCTTAATCAAGTCCAACTGTAGAGTCGCCTTGATCGGGTTCTTTCGTATCCTGGACGCCCGCAGTGCCGGCAACTCGTCGACTTCCCGGCCTGGTGTCGGCGTCTGTAGTTCCACATCAAGCTAGTAATCACACTTTCCGAGCTCAGAGGCACAAGGACTGCTTCTTGAAAGTCTCCCAGGAAGTTCTCCTCTATCATAGACTCCTGGATTGCTGTGTGAAAGTCGGGAAAGGAATTCTCCCTACAGTACAGTCCGAACCCGGTCGAGTGGTAACTCTCATGGCCACCTAGGATGAGGAGGCGATATTCGCCAGTCATACGCGGCTTGGTGTACTTATCGAAGTACTGAATCCATCCTAGTTCTCTCTCGTTTGTCGTCCAGCGGTGGTCAGACGTGGCGATGACCTAGTCTTGACGCAGAGGGCTATATTCGTACTACGTCGAGAGGTGATATTGACCTACAATAATGATGCACGACCAAGGTGTTGAAGTAAAAAGGGTTGAGTTTGTTGTTGTTAGTTCTAAGTTACATGTGTCCGAGAGGAGCACACCTCCTTACATAGTATCCACATCCCAGCCACCAGCAGATCGGACCACCTTCGCCGCACTGTCTCAACAGGCGGAACCCCCACCTTGAACCAGGATCTCGTCAGCGATCGCGTTCATTTTGCAGCAAAACGCTCACGGTCGCGCCGGCCTCAACGCTCACTCCCCTCTAAAACTATAAAAATTGTAAAGATTGTAAAGATTGTAAAGATTGTAAAAATTGTAAAGATTGTAAAGATTGTAAAGATTGTAAAGATTGTAAAGATTGTAAAGATTGTAAAGATTGTAAAGATTGTAAAGATTGTAAAGATTGTAAAGATTGTAAAGATTGTAAAGATTGTAAAGATTGTAAAGATTGTAAAGATTGTAAAGATTGTGATAAGGATCTTAGGTGCACCATTTGTGCCCCTAGCGGTGCACGTATGAGTCCCCCGTGGCTGCCTTAAGCTGACTCAGCGATAATCTCCATAGCAACAATCAGCGTTATCTTATCTCTACTAAGCAACAAATTCGTACGTTATCCGTTCCAGTCGCCATTGACAGGCCCGAAACCCGGCACCAATTTCACTGTCTGCTGCCGACTTGGGCAAACCACCAGAACCTCTCTCCTTAATCTAGTCCGCGTAGGTCCGCCGTATTTGCCATGATGGAATCCTTCAGCGAAGTCCAGCCAGGTCTACCAAGTTTACGCAGGATTTCCTCCGCCCGAACCATCGGCCTGATCTCGTTTAGGTCTTGTCCATCAGAAAAGTTCGGAATGAAGCGGCGTCCTGGGTTCTGCTTGCGCAGGATGTCCAGGATGGCATCCCAATTAAACCTCCCCGCGAAGCCGAAAATTCTCTCCTCATTAACATCTGGGAGAACGGTGGCCGCTACATGGAGCCTTGCAGTATCCTGGACGTCGATAAAGTACTCTTTCCACAATCAGCGTTGTCACTGGGCTTACGAGAGCTTGGAACACGTACGGGGCACGATTGATTTCAACGACGAAACCTCACCATTCCAAAGCAGAACGGGAAATATTGAGCTGCTAGGATGCCCCTGCACTTCTGTGTTGAGACTTGGGCCAAAATTGACATTGGGTAATACTGCTAGAGTTAGTATCCCCACAATGGGAGAAAGGCAGGACAGACACACCGGTGTTAAGAACAAAGTCCCGTCGTCGAAAAGGAAACTCCCTGTAACACCTCCAGATTTCTTTTTCCGCCGCTGTCTTGCTGGCCGCATAAACGGCGGATGAACGCTGTGGTCCGTAGGGAGGTTCGGCCCACGCTTCTTGAACGGAAGCTTCATTCCACGTGTCTTGCGTAACAACTACCCCAGGGCTGCTCTGACTCGAAAGCACAGCTGCCGTAGATGAGGACGTGTAGATAAATCGCTTCACACTAGGTTCAGCTAACGCCGCATTCAAGACGTTGACTGCGCCCGCCACCACAGACGGTATGACATTATATGGATTGGGGTCAAATGACATGTTGGACGCGACGTGGGCAACTGCGCACACTCCTAAGACTATCATTAGTCGAGTTCTTCGCCTCGTCGTAGCCAGGAGCTTCTGAACCTACCTTTTATCACGTCACGAAACGCCCCATCTGCTGCCATATCCGTCACGGGGACAAGTTCAAAGTTGCCTTCGCCGTATTTTGCATCGAAAAGCGTCTTCAGCCATAATCCCTTCTCGGTATCACGCACAGTTCCTCGAACTTTGTAACCATAGTGGAGGAACTGATCCGCCACATTGGACCCGATGAAGCCACTCACGCCGGTGACGAGCACAAGTGACCCCTTGACAATAGCGACTTCCTGAAGGCCTGCCATCATAGTGGTTAGTCGCCGAAGAAATGTTTCGTGTCAATGCTTAGGTAAATGGCGGGTCGGATCTACACCGGGCTGAATTGTAGGCAAGAAGGTGCCTTTTATATGAAGTGCAGTAATTCAGAGGCGAAGCCGCCGAACTGCGCGACTGCAAAGCAGCGGTGATGCTGACAAATATAATACTGGTGCTAATTTTCCTACCAGCCAAGGTGACACCTGTCACATTCAATGGCTTGGCAGTGCTGATGCGGGTTCCAGGGGAGAGTTTTTCTTTCGGCGAATCGACCACTGAACATGGTAACGAAAATAGAGGGTAGAAATGAACCCCCACTTGATCAGTAATCACAACAGGCTCATGCGGGCCGCGTGCGAGCCACAGTGGAATCACAGCCTTCTTGATTCTCCTTGATCAGTAATCACATCAGGGTAATACGAGCATTCCTTGACCGCCGGCGTTATGCCGGACTGACCCATCGGAGATATACAGATATGCGTGATTCATGGAAACTCCAGGCCCGAACGATGGAATCCTCCGGCTAGGCTGCATATCAAACTAGTGCGCCTTCACGAGATAAATTTCACCGACAGGCTTCCTCAAACACACTTTTGGCAAATCAGCACCATACCTTGCCATAGTTCCACATCCTTCCCAGTCGGCACCGTAGCTTGTGATGATTCCACATCACAGTCTCGATCCTAGTTGAAGCCTGAATGCACTGCCAGGGGCGCATATGCGTACTCTATATGATGAGCTGAACAGGAAAGAATCAGACGTACTCTCGCAGCTCCGTACGAGAGATGGTGAGGATCAACAGCTAGGTTACGCAATTGGTGGAAACTATTCATGACAACCCGGCCACGCGATAAAGACGGCCGACAGAGCTAAAGCATCTTAATTCATGATTCCACCTTGGTATAAGATCATCTATCAAGCCCCCCATCAAAAAAGCTGTAGGCCATGATCATTGGTTCATTTTGCGCCGTCATCTAAGTAGTGGTCCAGGCGTGCGGCTCAGACGGGGTCCTTTCGCTCGGCAATGATTTCCGGCTATGGAACTCCACTTAGGCAGAATAAGAAGGTCGTATTCAGTGGCCAATGAGCTTCGAAGGCTGATAGGGCTGAGTGTTATTAATCACGGGTTGCTCCAGCTGCACTCCCCGTTTCAACCAAAATTGAGAAATCTCAAACTGTACGCAAAACACTGACATTTTCAACTGCATCGTATTCACCTCCAATCGCTGACCACAGAAATCCCGGGCCTTCTGCCACCCAGATCCGCTACCGAGCGCCGCTCCGCAGTAAGCTAAGCCCTTTGTCCTGTTGTGATGCAGCCCTCTCGATGCAAGACAAAGCTTTTTGACACCGATTCGACGCTAGATCATGATACCGAACACTGCACTCGTGAACTCGCTGCCGAGAAACATTCTAGCGCAGAAACGTGCTCGCACCAGCACGCCCAAAAGCCGTGGTGGCTGCATTGCGGTAAGACTCAACCCGCCTATTGGGCAAGTTTACAAATGTCGCTGGGGTTAAGCCACCATGGGGAGAGCCGGAGGTGACACTGATTGCCAAAGCTTGTTGTACCCCTGAAGCGAGGCAATCCCTGACTAAGTCGTCTCAGTGTAAAAAGATGCATCTCAAATGCGACGAAGGAAAGCCGACGTGCTCTCGATGCGACAGAGCGCACCGGGAGTGCCAATACTCTGGGCTCGACCCGCAGCCAGGTTGCCCTGTTGTCTCTCAGCAGAGGACGATCCTTCCGAAACCGAACGTGTCCGGGCTCGAAGTAACAGGCAAACTCTACATGCAACCAAGAGCAACCAGTCTGGAACCATCTGAGGTTCCTTACTTTGACATGTTTCGGTACCAAATGAGACAGGATTTTGCTTCTACTCACTGCACACTCTTCTGGAATCGGGTAATTCCCAGAGAGGCCATGAGAGACGACTGTGTGCGCTCGTCCGTTTTGGGTGTAGGCGCTTTGATCTTATCTTTCCGTCGCCTAGGCTCTGAGCCTTTCCTCGGCCCTTTCGGAGAAACTGGTGACAAAGCCCATCAATCTGCAATCCGATACCACGCCAGGGCTATCAAAGGACTTCAAGACAGAATGCAGCGGGGCTTTCATACTATTTCACGTCGCAATGTTCTGATCAACATGTTCTTACTGCTTCTCTTTGAGCTTCTGCACGGAAACACTAAAGCCGCCGATCGGATGCTGAGCAGTAGTGTTGAGCTCTTGCGGCAGAGGAAGGATCAACTGCTTGAAGAGGTCAGCTCACAATATCGACCGCAACGTCAACCGCTCTACCTTGCCGTCTCAAATGATGAAGGGCTAGAGGAGGCCGAAATAATCCTCCCTCGGCTACAAGTTTTCTGCAGCCTGAACTCACCTTTTTTCCCCTTGCAAAAGCGCTGCTGGGCCAGACTCCAATCGCGACCTACGCCTAGCGCTGTCCCATCGCCGACTACTAGTTTTGGGGAGTTGGGCGCCATGTGGAACAGCTTCACCACCAGAGCTGTTGTATTTGTCGTCAAGGCAATGCAGGAGTTGGTTGCAAGTGGGCATACAAGGGACCTTGAACCATATTTGGATCATCAAGCCGCCTTTCTCCAACAGTTGGGCCAATGGGAAGAGGCGATTCTGCAGAGATATGAGCAGGAGACAAACGCCATACAGCTACAGACCCTCAAGGTCTTCCACATGGGACAAAAGGTCGTTTTCATTCTTCTCAACTGTTGTCTCGATACCACGGAGCTTGGGTATGACAAGTTCGGACACGTCTTTCAGGACATCATCGATACGACGCATGCTCTAGCACCAGTGTCAAGGGGTATGTCGCGGATCGAGGTGATACTAGATATATATTTTCTTCCAGTTTTGAACTTTGTGTCGCAGAAATGTAGGGACACAGCTGTTAGGCAAGAGGCTCTAGACTTGTTTGAGAAGATGACTTCTAGCATGGGTGGGTGGGAGGCGAGGGCGAGTTTGTTGGCCAGGCGGCAGCTCATGGCGCTCGAGGAGAGAGGACGGACGGCGACTGGAGAGATTCCTGCAGATTCCCGGTACATCTGGAGCGACGCCACCTGGAATGAGTCTCAGTCGGCACTCGAGGTTGTTTTCACGAGGGCTTCACCGAATCCATTCGGTGTACGCGACACTGAAAACTTAGCAATTGAACTGGCAGAACTTATCGGGTAGAGAAACACAAAGGTGCTATAGCTAGCGTAAAGTCGTTTTATTTCGAATATCTCCTATCATTCCTATTCCAATAACGTACTTGATAAGCGAATGGTTAAAACAAGCGAACGATCAATTTGCCACCTCTACCTTCTCCTTCTTTTTCAACTAGTTATCTTTGTTAGAAAAGACGGCTTAGCTTAGGCTAATATTTAGGAATATTTATAAAGTAATATAACGTAGTTGATAAGCGATCCGACCAGACAAGTGATCCGATCAGCGCACTGTACAGCTAAAAATAGCCTACCCTATAATATCTAGCTACCTTAAATAAAATAGCTAAAAATCCAAAAATATTTATTTTATATATTTTATAGCTATTTATATATAAAAATAATTTTTCTAGATTTTTAACTATTTTATTTTATATACTAAAGCTTATTTATACAGTGTAAAGAGTATTAATAAGCTTTTTTATATATAATTTATATCACAAATTAGCTAGAATTATTTTATTAATAATATAGCTTTCTTATAAGGTAAAATATAAGCTTTTAAAATTTTAGCTATTTTAGGCCTAGTTTGAATTTTATATAAGCTTTTAAAAAACAGCTTTTAAGGTGTAAGTTAAGCTGGTCGGATCACTTGTCCGGTCGGATCGCTTATCAACTACGTTATAGTTAATAGATATAACGTGTATGATAAGCGAGTGGGCCAGACAAGCGAGTGGGCCAAAAATCCCTCACCTTCCATCTTCTCTACTTTATCAGTTAGTTCTCAACAATCAGATATGTCACAACCAAACTACGAGGCTAATCTTAATCTTGCACTTCAGGCCCTTCAAGATAATCCAAAACTAAGTATCCGACGCGCCGCAGAAATCTACACAGTCAATCGTAATACCTTACGTCGCCGCCAGCAAGGGGTTCAATCTCGGCGCGATACTATGCCTAACTCACGGAAGCTATCTGAACTAGAAGAAGATACTCTTCTTGAGTTCATTATCGACCTAGATTCGCGAGGATATCCCCCGCGACTGCGTGGTGTTGAAGAAATGGCTAATCGACTGCTTGATGACCGCGACGCGCCACGCGTCGGCGCGCGCTGGGCTATGAATTTCGTCAAGCGACAACCACTACTCAGGATACGTTTTCAGCGGAGATATGACTATCAGAGGGCCAAATGTGAAGATCCGACTATTATTCGCAACTGGTTTAGGCTCGTACAGAACACGATCGCGAAGTATGGTATCCACTCAGATGATATCTGGAACTTTGATGAGACCGGCTTTATGATGGGCGTTTTCTCAACCAGTATGGTCATTGCATGTATAGAGAGGCATGGACGGCCTAAAAAATTACAGCCTGGAAACCGAGAATGGGTTACAGTGATCCAAGCGATCAATGCAGCAGGCTGGGCGATCGAGCCGTTCATCGTGGCTGCGGGCCAAAATCACCTTCAGAATTGGTATCAAGAATGCAACATTCCGGGCGATTGGGCCATCGCCACGACCCAAAATGGCTGGACAGATAACGGGACTGGTCTCGAGTGGCTAAAACACTTTAACCGATGTTCATTAAAGCGAACAATTGGTACCTATCGTCTTCTGATCCTCGATGGCCACGAAAGTCACCATTCCGTCGACTTTGAGCTATATTGCAAGGAGAACAATATTATTACGCTTTGTATGCCGGCTCATGCGTCTCATCTACTTCAGCCTCTTGACGTCGGGTGCTTTGGGCCCCTTAAGAGGGCTTATAGTCGAGAAATAGAGCATATGATGAAAAGCTCTATAACCTATATTTCGAAGACCGAGTTCCTCCCGGCCTTTTATGCCGCCTTTCAAGCCACTATGACGGAGAGCAATATCAAAGGGGGTTTTAGAGGAGCCGGGCTTGTTCCTCTTAACCCAGAAAATGTGATCTCAAAACTTGATGTAAAGCTACGGACTCCAACACCTATTGAGGAGGAGGCTAGCGCATCCACCTCTTGGGTTCCAAAGACCCCAAATACAGTCCGCGAGGTAAAATCTCAATCTGAATACCTCGAAAGGCGAATCAGAGGACATAAGAGTAGCTCCCCAGAGTCAATTATAGAGGCTTCAAAGTCTCTTGCAAAGGCAGCAACCAGAATATATCATAAGGTTACCTTATTATCTGCAGAGAACCGAGAACTTCGACAGGCAAATGAGGCACTAAGCCGACGCCGCAGGGCAAAAAGAACCCGATTACAGAAAGGAGGGGTACTAACAGTAGGGGGAGGTCAGGAACTAATTGATCAGATAGATGTTAATACGCAGGTAGTGGCCGAATCGTCGAGAAGTGGTGGTCAGGGAAGTTCGGCGCGACCGAGGGAAAGGCATTGTGGAATATGCGGCAAGACTGGGCATAATGCAAGAACCTGTCAGGTAGTAACTGAGATATCTAGGGAAGAGAATAATGAGTAGGTTTAATTGATTAGATAGTTTATTATGTTTTTATGATAGTTTATCTTTTGAAGGGTAAGATTTCTGGCCCACTCGCTTGTCTGGCCCACTCGCTTATCATACACGTTATATATTAGCTATCTAATTGTTTTATTTATCCCTTATATAATTCCTAGAGAAAAGATAGCCTATATACCATCTACTATAGAGTAGCTTAATAATTTAAAAAAGTGTAACGGTTGCACTTAACCACTACCCATCTTGGTCTTTAGGTCTGCGCGGCGATTGATAAACTTGATCACCCAGTTGCGTCCCAAGTCGGGATGTTCGCCCTGCTGTCTCAACAAGCCCATGACACAAGCGCGGATCTGACTGTGGGACGGAGCATAGCCCAAGGACTCCTGGCGGAGGATCCAGAAAGCCAGCCTATCTTCTTGGTTCTTGGACAAACGTCGGCGAGGCTGGATCTGGTCTTCAGCGGCCCCACGGCCGTTAAGTCTATCGATGAGGGTCGTTCGGGGCACTCCTCTTCTCTGGGCCGCTTGAGGGGGTGAAAGACCATGATCGGTAATATCCAATATAGCCTCAGCCATATCGTCCTCTGTATATTCCCATTGAAGTCGTGATTTAGGCATTTTTCTGCTGTTGTCGAGGGTAAAGATCAAAAATCACGAGAAAGAGCGGTGAGGAGGTTAGTGACCATTTTGAAAATATTTCAATAGCATGACTTGCATATATCGCGTGCCCAGCACATCCTCAACAGGTCAGAATAATTATCTCCACTCATTTCTATAATCAATAAAAGAAGCTTCTTTTAGGTAGCTATTTATTCTGGCCAACTTTCGTGTAAGTGAAGTTGACGAATTTTGGTGGTGCTCTTTTTTTTTTGCTTGACGAAAGGGTGGGGCTGTCGAAAGGGGGGTTGTATATGGTAGCTGCTGAAGATAGGATGCTAAACATTTGGAGAAGTCGGTCTTCAAGCAGGCCTGTCAAGTAGAGTTAAGCGAGGCTAGAACGGAAAAGACTTCGGACGAGAAGTAGGGCTTTCCTGTATGTCAGACCGGATCAATGCGGAGGAATCGTAAATGGCTTAGCGTACCTACTGGCCCTATGAGATTCGTTCTCCGGGCGTAATAAACTCTATCTATCTATCTATCCACCTACTCCAATGCCCTGCCATGACACAGCCGTAAACACGCTAAGAACACGTAATAATCACATGACGAGAGGCTGGGACGAAACCACCGCAACGGAAGTCCAGGCAAGGGGGGTAAACATCGAACAGACAGCGAGAACTGATTTGGACATCACAAGCAAAACGGCCCGCGATACCGGCACTCCCGCCAGTGATCAGGCCCACGGCCTCCCTTCCTTACAGCCATGACTGGACGCACTACTGATATGCCCGCACTACACGTTGGCAAAAACCCCACCTGTGAATTGGACGATGACTCCCTTGTGTCGAATTGCAACCAAGCTCAGCAAGTCGACAACTCTCGCCATAAAAATAAGAGGATGGCAAGTGGCTCGAATTTCTATTTTCCTTTAGTCTGACACTGGACGAGGAGCTTCCAGACCAAACGAATGCGTGGACTCCGCTGACGTGATGTTGCAGTGCGTGACCCAAACCTCCAGCATCGCGAAAGCATCTCGATTGACAGAGAACAAGCGCCGTTACCGAGCGCGCCAGAAAGAGTATGTGTCGGACCTTGAGCGAAAGGTCGCAGAAGCGCGAGAGCAAGGGATCAAAGCAACGACGGAGGTACAATTGGCGGCACGGGAGGTCGTCATAGAGAACGGGCAGCTCCGGGACCTCCTTCGGCTGGCTGGCTTCACCGACGAAGATATCAACGTATGGACGAGGCGCGAATCCGGTGGAGATGATGCAAATGGAGCGAATTGCGCTCGAAGGCGAGAAATAGAGCGGATGGCCAAGCTACGTGTGACATTGGCATCTGGCCGAGGAGGAGGGACCATAAAAGGGGAAAAGATATCCTTTTCGAGCAAGACCGACGAGAAGGGAGAGCTTGGCCAGGCTAGAAACATATCGGAGAGCACCGGCATACCATCAATTCCAAACGAGCCACTAGATAGCGAGCCAAACCCCTCCAACTGTCCGGATTTCGATACAGCGACTACCTGCCCAGCACCCGAAACGAGCGAGGCTCCTGCTGCTGCACAGCCACAGACTCAAACCTGCCATGACAAACAATCAATGCCATGCAAACTTCTCTCGCGTCTGGCCGAGAATCCTGCTACAGATATTACTCAGGTCCCAGTCCCGCCAGGGTCTGTTGATCCTCTTGAGGATGCTACATACCATGAGGGAGATGTTGAATGCGGAAAGGCGTATGAGATGCTCATGCGCTACGCGACATCTGAGGAGAAGATGGATACCGTTGCTAAAGCATTGGAAAGTGGCTGCACTTCGACTGGGAAGGGTCGGTGTGTCGTCAAAAGGAATACTATTTGGGAGGCTCTCGATAGTATGTGTGGGTGAGCTGTCAACACGATCCTGCGTCAGATAGACTATATTTGGCTGTACCAAGGGCAATTTTTGAATCTCTCAATCAAAAAAGCTCACTCCTTGATACAAAGGACATAGCACTCCATTCCTACCTCGCCTACTTTTCTTAGCCTATCTCTTAACCTGAGCGGTTGGTCAACCATACTGGCCAGCTCACCCCACCACAATCTCCCGAGGCGGCATGGATCGGGCAGAGGTAATACTGGCTTTTATTCAGCGTATGCATTTGTTATATGCAGGCAATCTTTCCTCGTTTAATGCTTTACCAGCACCCAGATGTTCCAAGCAGCCAACCCTCAAGGGAACAATGTTTAGACGGCCATCCCCACATATTCCAAGATCTCTCGCCGTTGCAGCATGTGGCTCTTTTCCAATGCCAGAATGAATCTCTTCATTAATAACAGTCCTGACCGGCTATTGAATAGGAGCAATAATTAGTCTCAAGATTAGTTCACGCGGTGTGTATGTTTTACACTTATTTCTGTACTACGCCCAAATGTGAATCCGGCAATCACCTCGAGCGAGTAATCTACCTGTACAGTACAGGCAGTAAAACTGGGTGCAACTTTCTGAATAGGAATGTTTACCCGGGGAGAAATGACCGACTCCTCTTCGATCTCCTGAGCATTGGCCACCTCTATTTTGAGCCCAGTGAGACATAAAGGTTGTGGGATGACGTCCATGGCGTGCGTCGATTCCCATTTCTGCAATATCGCAAATTTGGAGATGTATCTCTAGACTTGTATTAGTCGCGCTCGTTTGTTTGGCTTTTTATATCTTCCATGGTTTGTACTTGCCATAGCAGCTCCTTCGCCTACATGAAGAACCCCCTTAGTCTTCACCTGCGGATATCGCAAGTCGGATCGAAATGGAGCAATATGCATACGATAGTGAAGATTCAGTGGAACCCAGTCGTCAGATTTATAGAGAGTTACCCTCTAACATGCCCACCTGGCAAACACAAGTCAAAGGCTTGGTCACTCAATAAGGTGATCACCGTGCCCAATGAACAAGCAGGAGTCCGAGCAAGCCCGGAGATAAGTGACCCCACCCTGAACTTCACGCGCAGGAGCGGTGTTACAAACTGCATCATCCCCAGAGTCTACTGAACCGCGATGCAAGGCTCAAGAGGCGGTCGTCATTATGACAAACAAGTCTCTCCCAGACAAGACTCAGCATACAAGTCCAGCAGTCTCTGAAAGACGGACAGGCAATGTTTGATTGGTTCATTATGAGGTGAAAATGCTATGTCTTTGCGCCGCTTCAGGTACCCGCATATGTAAGGCAAGTAGACTTAGCCGAGAAATCTTGTCAGAGGTTTGATATATGGTGCCTTAGTTTTTTTCGATATAATTGAAACTGTGGCCACCTCTTAGGAGAAGTAAGTGTTATTAGGGTTAACATCAGTACACTGGGGGCCGCATAAGAAGAGTTGGTACTTCTCAACCAGTGTCTATATGCTAGTGCTACCGCGCGAGCCATAAATAATATAGAAGACGGCCCCATAACTAGCCCAGTTGTGTACTCATGCTCCCATGGCCCGAAGTGGAGTCTTGCACGAAACCCTCCTCTGAGACTGGTGTTGCATTTAAGGCACGTATTTCACGTAGATTTTCCGAGGAAGCAGGCAAGCCTTGTTATCTTGATCGTAATGAGAGACAATATATCGCAGAACGCATTTTGAGAAAATTCATCTCTTCCTCTCCTTTCAGCACGCTGGGGGGGTAGTGTCATGGCCACATTGCAAGCAGCGGCTTTGTACTCCCTGTAATGCTTGATAACTGCCGCAGTCCCAGCATTTTCCTATCATGGGAGTCTCCATATACGAGTCTAGAAGTTCCTTTATGAATTCCGGAGTCGTACCCGCGATGCCTTCATAGATCTGCCTAACAGGTTTGCTTCCCAGACCCTGAGGCAGATTGATCCTTGCGTACTTGATGGCTTCATCTCTAAGATCTCTGACATAACTTGGCGTCAGTTCATAAACAGCCGGAATAGATCCAAGAAATTCAACAATTTCCGAATCTCTAAGCCTATCTAAGTACTTCGCTGCTGATAGTGATATCAGACTGTCGACTGCGTATTTGTCTGCCAAAGAAAACATTCTTGCATGAAATTGTAGCGCAGATATGTTCTGTTCTTCGATCTCGGGTGCTGCCGAAACATCGTAATCCCCATTATTAAAGTATTCAATCATTTTGTTGACAATGAACAGAGAATCCTCGCTCATCTCGTAAGTTCTCGAGGAGGATTCCTTGAAATAGATATCAGCCATCAGTCCCCAAGTTCTACGCCACCCACTTACTTGAAATGGGCCAGTAAAAGCGGTATGGAAAACCTTGGACTGTGTGAATAGGGCAGTTTTCCGAACATGAAACTTCTTGCTCTCACACATCAAGACAAGGAACTCGCCATTCTCATCCTTCCTAATACAAATTTTACAATCAACAATTAATTGTAAAGTCTGAAATGACGTAGCTATACATACCTCTGTTCGTCTTCCATGCTGTTACAGATAAAGGTATGATATCCTAGAAGCAAAAGTAGGATTCTCCGCCCGGAACCATATCAGGAAAATGCATCATTATTGCGACCGAGGCGGCAGCGAATCATCGGGTCGGTGTCCGTCCATCACATTACCCCGCAAACCTTAAAATACCAAGAAAAGATCCCAAGTGCCAGGAGAGCCCATGAAAAGAGCGGATGGGGAGGCTTGTTACCTTTCTATTGCGTTTCCGAAAATTGTTATCTGTACAAAGGCATTAGAGTCTGTCTCTTGGATGCATCGAGAAGGACCAAAAGGTTGCAGGGAGCGGATCAGGACGAATGCCGAATGTAATGGCCGCCTCATTTTATCCGGCCAATCCCATCTTTTCTATCAGTCCTCTCTCGTAAATATTCTGTAAATTGCACCATTCAGCCACATGATGGCGTAAAAGGGTGATTCGGACATCGAGAGTTATGCGCTCTTTGAGGGGGTCCTCGGCTGGGCTGCCGCTGGCAGAGAGTTTACGGACCTGATGGAGGAATACGATGAGGAAGTGTGGCGCAGAGACTATTCGAAGCACTAAGATGTCCTTATGATGGATAGGGTTGCTTAGAGACAGGTTGATTAATGTCATGGAAATCTCAGGAGATGATTAAACTGTAGCGATACTACACTGGGGCTGAACCATGCATGCAAGATTGCTATTAGTGCTTTGCGCCAGCCAATTAACGTTGTAGTGTCTGTCTCGACCTGAGCTTTGAGGGGATAAATTAGGTTTGCGCTTGAGCCTGATCAGCGACCCGCTTGCAAATAGTCAGCCAATCTTATTAGGTTTAATTTGTGGGCCTGGGATGCGGCATCTCCAGGAACGGTGAGTACCGTTGTAGCCTACTGGCCAATCAAAGCTTTCCTGTCCGTCCATTCTTTCTCAATATTCCCTAGCAAGAGTTAGAAGAGCATAAAAGTTTACTCGTATAAAAGCCAGGCGATGCGGGCTACTCACCGTAATCAGATTTCTCTTCAACCCGCAGGACAAGAGGACTAGGATTTCTAAACAATCGCCAACACCTTTGTTCTCAATGGTGGCTGAACTTACACCCTCGCTATCAGTTGCGACGAAGTTGCACGACAAGAAAGTGGATGAAGAGTCTCAGAAGGTTGACTCTTTTCAGCCTGACTGCAGCGGACCCGCCTCTGATACACATTGTACCGAAGACGACCAGGGCCTTGAAGATAACTCTAACGTCCCCAAACTATCGTATCCGAAACTTTTCTGGTTCTTCTTCTACAACTTTGGCCTCTTTGCTTGGGGCGGACCCGTCGCGCAGATTGCCCTGATCAAAGAAAGGCTTGTGGTCCAGGACAAATGGATCACCCTCCCTCGCTTCCAGCGCGTCTTCTCCGTCTATCAGATCCTCCCCGGGCCTGAGGCTGCCGAATTATGTATGTTCTTCGGTTGCTTGTCTGCGGGTAGGATAGGCGGGATTATTGCAGGGATGGCATTCATCCTGCCCGGGTTTGCTTTGATGCTACTTGCTAGTTATTTGTATACCCTAGCTGGTTTTGAGAATAAGTACTTCAATGCTTCGTTTCGGGCTTTGCAGCCTATCGTCGCGGCAATGGTAGGTGTCTCATCTATTGGAACACTATGAGCATTTTCGGTCATCTGATTCTTACGCTTATTTCCAGATCTTAAGAGCGACTCACAAGATAGCTGACCACTCGGTGAGAAAGCACAGTACGAGAAAAGTGGACCCGTTTCTTGTGATTGCAGCCATTTGCACGGCCATCAACGGCGCACTTCGGATAAACATGTCAGTATTCCCGTACCTCTAGATTAAACATAACTATACAACAGATGCTTTCTGCCGACGCCCGAATCTATTACGACGCTTTTAGGCAGTACGCTGACACCATTACTTCTTCATAGTTTCATCTCCCTTGGACTCTACGGCATAATCTATACTTTTATCGCTCGGCGCCTCTGGATCCCTGCGGCCGCGCTCTTCATCCTTCAATATGTCGGCTACGCACTCTATGTCGTCTTCCGTGGTGTACCCTCACCAGTGTCGTTGGCCCTCGGTATCGCTAAGACACCGTCATTGATCAACCTCTTCGTGCTAGGCCTTGTGGCCGGCACGCTCTCATTCGGCGGCGCGTATACAGCCATCCCGTTTGTGCAGGTTGAGGCCGTCTTGATGGGGGCATGGCTCCCACAGAGCGTGTTCATTGATGGCATTGCCATTGGGAATATCTTGCCGGCACCGCTGGTTATTTTTGCAACGTTTGTGGGTTTTCAGGGCGCATACTTGGATAGGTCGATTGGCAACGCGTTTGCGGGGGCGATTATTATCACTCTGGGAATGTTTTTCCCCTGTTTCCTGTTTACCATTGCGGGGCATGAGTTGTTGGAAAAGTTGGTTCGAAATAAGGTAAGCGGAGCTCTGATTTCCTTAGTTTCCTCGTCACTATCACTTCCGTTATCAACAGGTCTAGCAATAACCTCGCTGACGGCCACCTTCCGGCAAATAGTTCCTCGCTAGCTTCTTTGACGGCCTATGTGGCTCGGTCATTGGCGTTATAGCAATCATCGCGGCGCAGATCCTCAAGGCCAGTATCGTAGGCTCTCTGGAAAGGGTGAAGGATAAGCCAATTGGTGAGGTAATTGACACAACCGCTCAGGTCGGCCCGGCGGCGGTTCTGTACATGCTTGCCCTGGCGGTTCTCTACAAGTTTACTAATAAGTACACTGCACTCTTATTAGTTATCATGGGTGCAGTCGCGGGGCAGTTTCTATTTGTAGACTAGGGACAAGAAAGGTAGTTTGTACAGAATAGCGGCACCGGAGGAGTGCAAAGTCATGGCCCCAGATGGTGCCATTAAGATTGAGGAAGATAAACGATAGAAGAAGCTCTTGCAGGTTATGGGTATCTTTTCTATCATTTAATATCAGATTGAACGGAACACGAGAATATAGAATAGAGGAATACGGCAGGCGGATATCTCAATACCGGGTGGCGGGGGAAAACACCTGGAAGGACAGAAAAGAGACAGAAGAAAAAACAAGCTCTTGGGGACTAGATTGACCCTCCCCAGCCGCCAATCTAACAACGACTGTGCTGCGCCGCAAACTTTTGAACCGAATCTTCATTGGTCGGGTTTGGGGCACAAGTGCTCCGTACGAATGTTGGGTCACAGCTACCCCGCCGCATGCGCTTTTATTAGAGGAGAACCTCCACATTGCAAAATACCTCGCGCAACATCATTCTCAAAATTCGAACAAGCACCATGTCCCCTTTAGTTTACCTAGTTCGACATGCAGAATCGGAACATAACGTCTCAAAAGACTTCTCACAAAGAGATCCACCTCTCACTTCTTTGGGTCTTTCTCAAGCATCGGCCCTAGTCGATACGTTCCCTCATCCAGAGTCAATCGCCATAATATTCACTTCTCCACTCATGCGCACCCTACAGACGACACTGGCTGGCTTCTCCCATATCCTAAGCAAAGAATACCTCAAGAATAATGACAACGAAGAAGGCGCCCGTCTCATTATAGACCAGGACCTACAGGAGCGAAGCGACCTTCCCTGTGATACTGGATCCAAACGTTCTGCGCTAGAGATAGCTTTTCCGCTCCTTGACTTCAGCGTCTTGGCTGAGGATTGGTATATCAAGGATGGTCCTCACGCGGCCAACGATTCTGCTGTTGCTGCACGAGCTAAAAGATTCCGAGAGAGATTGCGGGACACGGTTCAAGCCATCCACGGGAGCGAAGATCTCGCAAATATGCCGAAAAAAGTTGTTGTTGTCACACATGGCGTATTCATGAAGTACCTTGGCGAAGATATGACTATTGATCTTCCCAAGGCAGGTTGGAGGACCTTTGCGATTGCTGATGGAGTTGACGGTGAAGCTGTTTTGAATCCTATCGAATAAACTATACGGTCGATCCTCGAATCGAAGCACTAGATCATATTGTAATGTGACCTACGTAACAATCGCAGCTGCCAGGCTCGAATAAGAATCCCAAATATGAGTCGTCGTAATGATAATAACTCCGGGCTTTAGTGCTTGACTTATCTCTGCTCGTTTAGTAGGATAGGTAAGTCCCCCACTATCATTCGCACGGCCTCATTTTGAGGTAAGGGATAATTACGGTTACAGCTGCCAGGAAGCCAGAACCCTGATTGGCGTGAGTCAGTCACTCCCTCAGCTTGATTGGTGCTGGACGGAGTCAAATTACCGGGACCTGGGACAGCTAAGATTCAGCAACCCCACGTGCTTTAAAGTAAGCCAATTTTTGGTTGGTGCAGTTGCGCCTTTTTAAATCCCTAGTTACTACTCTATATAATACCTTAGAATTGACATTTATTTATATTTATAGAGAGAGCTGCTCGTTCAATGGTCCCCAGAAGATTTTTCCGACTTTCGATATACACCCCTTTTCTATAACGATTTCAGGATGGCAGTCCGGTCCCGTATGGCCTGGCGAAGTTGGCGACCTGTTAATCTGAAGGCCAAGTTTTGGAATACCATCAGCACCAATTACCACCTTGGTTTCACATCCTTCGGCGGCCCCCCAGTGCATTTCAGGATCGTAAGTACTTGTACAATTCTTTGGCGATGCGTACCTAGCGGCGCATCTAAGCATCAAGAAATGACAAGCGCTAATGAATACCCTCCCTTGTCTTAGTTCCGTGACAAATTCGTCGATAAGCTGCAATGGATTGACAATCAAGTGGTAAGCAACTGTTTTTTATGGTTTATTTGCAAGAAGAACAGTAGCGCTGATCGAGATACAGTATCAGGAACTCTTCAGCGTCTGCCAGGCCTTCTCTGGCCCTGGCAGCACCAAGATGCACTACTGCATTAACTTGATTCATGATGGTTTTCTTCCTGCTTTACTGAGCTTCTTCATCTGGAGGTAGGCAACCGCAAGCACACAGGCACTCTCCTTACCGAAGTAACTAATTCCTTCCTTAGCTTGCCTAGGGCCTTGGGAATGTATGGTCTCTCTATTGGCGTCTCCAATATTGGAGACTTTCTTCCCGGACCTGTTTACGCACTTCTCTCCGGGCTCAACGCCTCAACCGTGGGCATTATCGCAGTCGCTGCTGTTCAACTATCAGAAAAGGCCATCACTGATAAAATAACTCGTATACTCGTCTTGCTTGGAGGTGCGGCCGGGATTCTATACAATGCGCTCTGGTACTTTCCTCTTCTGATGTTCATGGCCGGCTGTGCAACCGTCGTCCATGACTATCGCTGGCTTCATGGCCCTATCAAGACTATAGTCGGCTTGATAAAGAACCCCACAAAGCGGCTTAGGGCACAAGAGCCGGAGTCCATCGAGATTTCGCAGGCGCAATCTGCCGACCAGGACAATAATGCCGCTACCACTGCTACTTCTTTCGGCACTACTAGGGAACACAATGACGCGGTGGTCCGCTCGAGCCGAGAAGATAATGCGCAGACTCTACCAGTCACCGAGAATTCACATTCAGAGGCTGACTCAGAACCACGCGTTATCCCACCAGAGCGGTCCCTTAACTTTTCCTGGAGCTTTGGCCTTGGAATTATTGTCTTCTTTCTCATCACCTTCATTGTGATTATGGTCCTTCGTGGCAAATTGCGGGTCAAGACATACCTTTTTAGCTTCTTCGCCAATATGTACCTTGCAGGGACCATTATTTTTGGCGGAGGTCCTGTTGTCATTCCATTGCTCCGCGAATATGTTGTTGCTGAAGGCTGGGTTAGTCCGCGCGACTTCCTTATCGGCCTTGCGATCCAACAGAGCTTTCCCGGTCCCAACTTCAACTTTGCGGTATACCTAGGCGCTTTGACAGCATTTAATGGTGGATACAATTCGGCCGTTGGAGCAATGCTTGGGTTTATTGGCATATTTGCTCCTGGACTTATTACAGTTCATGGTACAATGGGTATTTGGAGCGCTATCCGTGGTCTGAGGTGGGTTAAGTCCCTTCTCAGGGGTGTCAACGCCGGTGCCGTGGGACTCATTTATACCGCGGTCTATCGCTTGTGGCAAATCGGGTATATTGCTGAAAGTTTTCAGCAGGGAACGAGTCTGGCACAGGAGCCGTGGTGGGTTGTTGTGACAGCATCGAGCTTTGTCTTTGGCTACTCATTCAACTTGAGCCCTCCAGTTATTATCATCATGGGCGCCGTCTTAGGCCTAATCTGGTATGCAGTTGCGCTCACTTAGCGACCGCCATATTGTCTGTAATGCTTAACCCCTTGTTAAGCTTTAGGAAAGCGTTAATATAGCGAGTATTGCAGAATAATTTAGCATAAATACTAAAAAGTATATCTTTATAGTTACTTTATTATAGCTAGGTTATTATCCTTGTAATGCCAGAATTTAATGCTTAATTACTATTAGCCAAATTTCAATATATAGAGCCTGATATGCTAAACTTACATGAAGTAAGAATAAGTTCCTGGTCTTGGAAGAACTTTGTTAATCTGCCGAGTACTGCAAGTTCGAACTTCAACTTTATGCTGTACGTAAAGTATTTAAGGACATTTTGAAGTATTCGAAAGCCTGCATATTGGACGCCTAGAAGAACGAAGTCCATGATGATAAGAACCACATTCATAATAATGAGCTCTGCCATCAATCGCTGTTTCCTTTCTTCTGACGTGTATGTCAGGATCTTAGCCGTTCCCCAGATGTAGAGCCCGGATATAACCAACTCTTGGGCGCAGAATATGGTGATTTGGAGGGGCTCCATAACCTTATATCCGAGTTCGACTGCCCTCGGGACTGGAACAATGTTATAGCAGAATGCTAAGACTGTCGTGGGAATAAGAAGGATAACAGCGTTGATAATAATCATTATCAGAACACTGCGAAGGATACAGGGGCTCTGGAGGACAAGATGAAGTCGTGACCACAAGACAAGCGATTGCCCAACGATGAAGGCCCACCATCCGGCAATTGTAATGGCGCTTTGAAGGTACGTGTGAGGGGTTATTTCAAAGAAGTAGGTCGAGAAGCCAATGGTGGCGACGATTAGGCCAAGGCTTGCGACTAAAAGACTCCAGAAATACCACCCGGAGAATCTCTTAAAGGTAACAAAGATTAAAATAATGATTTCCAAGGCATTATAGAGGGTGACTGCTATACAGCCAGCGAAAAAGAATGCCACTGATGGGCTGCTGTCGCTTGCTTGGCCAAACGTCAACATGTTTTAACGCCAAGGAAGGTCACACAATTACTGTAGTGGTAATAGATGAATCCTTGGCTATGGAATGGTTGCAAGAGAAGACTTGAATTTAATATAAGTACTAATTGGATGTCTCAGCATGTGACTGAAACCGCACTATAAATGCCGGACCCATAAGCACTACCCAATTTCATGACTCTGTACGGTATACTAATACAGGCCTCGCGGGTATGATGACGTTTATTAAACCGACTGCTAATATGCTTTTCGCAGGGTTGGCTGTTAAAGTCAGTAAACCTCCTTCTCATTGGTTGTATGGCGGGTAACTAAGAAAGTTTTCTCATGTCTTTAAACCTATCAATTAAGGTGCGAGAAATGCGATGCAGCGTACTAAAAGTTCTCGTATTTTAAATTAAATGCTGACGATTCATGCACTATTCTATGCCGATTTTCTTTTCTTAGTGCCCTAAATTCCATCTGCGGCAGATAGTAGAGATGTTCAATATCTTCATCTTCTTATAGGCGATTACGCAACATATGAATCAATTTGAACAATACGTTCAAGTGCGATAATAGTCGAGGTCCAGCAACCTGGGGTCAGATTGCGCTCTTGCATTCTCAACACCTACCAACAACAAAGAGCGGGGTAAGCACCCACCCAAACTAAAGCTGTCGCCCTCCCTTAAGCAACGTGTTCAGCAATGATGCCTAAGGGCGTTCCCTATCTATCCCGGCTCGTGGAATCCAAGCAGTATCATGACTCGACTGTCGTTTCTGGGGATGCAGCGTTCTCATTAATGCCGAAATCCTCAGATTATAGTTCACAGCCACACCCCACCCTCCGAACAATCACGAGGATCCTTCGCGGATACTCGGTAACAGCCGACACAGACATATCCGAGATGCCGGCGCTAGTGCAATTTTGCGCGCAGTTGTGGCTGTCACATCATGTCGCAACACACAGTAGTGGAAACAGGAGTTTCTGAAGGTAATGTCAGATCGCTATCCATATGGAAAGTACGAAAACTGGACGGAGTGCCAGAAACTGGATCCCTATGTTGGCCACTCCAATGGCGTTAAGGATGTTCTCATTTGTGGGCTTGCTTCGTTTGAAAGGCTCGGGCTGAGTACCAATAGATCCAGATCCATATCTGAGTGATAACCGATAACTATATAAGATGGAGTCTAGGTCGTTAACATGTCACTTCCCTAGCAAGAGTCTCTGAGGTTGTTCAAGACGGAAAAAGACATTCATATTCGGAGGTTTCTAATCCAGGAAAAACTCACTACCTGGCTGTATAAGCGTTAATAGCTGCATTCTATAAGTATACTGAGTTTTTTCTAGGCATATAACTCGAGGTCTACAAAGGAGCTAGGAACGCTGCGCTCTGCCTATCCCTTTGAGTGCCACAGCCCTTAGGGAGGTCACTCGCCCCACTTAGCTTAGTCATAAGGTTAGTACGTGCGGGGTACCGGATGTTCGTGAGATATTCAATTTTAGCAAAATACCATTAAAAGCTCATGCTAATTGATATCTATTGAAACGATGAATTCCCCACCGATTCTTGATGAAATACGAGTTGAGGAATACGACTTCGATGATCATAGCTTTCACACACATGCACAGCAAAGAGGCCTAGGCCCCACCGGAATAATAATTAACCCGCCTGAAGAGGCAGCCGGCCGCAACTTCATGCCTTTCAACGTAGAAGATCGTGATTTTCACATCAACATACTGCCTCCAACACCACTCGAGCTATTCCAGCTTTTTACACCTATATCCCTCGTACAGTCATGGGTCTACTACAGCGATAGCTGGGTCTCTTATCTTACGCAAAATGGCGTTATTGATAGCCATAACTCGGCCATTTCCGACCACTCACGGATCAACCGGTGGGACGGGCTCTCGGCTGCACAAGTATATGTATGGCTCGGGTTGCTGATTTACCTAGGAATTCATAAGGAAGATACAATCAAGAGCCATTGGAGCCCCCCTTCCCTAGGTGTTCAGGCCCCCCTGCATTCAATCATGAAGTTTATGCCTCTGTGGAGATTCCAGTTAATCTCACGCTATATACGGACTTTTGACCACACTTTGCTTGACCTAGGCAATGAGGAGGACCTTCCGAAGGCATTCCAAGCTGCTGAACCGTGGTCTGACCTCATACAGAAGGTGTCAGCCCAGCTCTATATACCAGGGAATAACGTTACTGTAGATGAGTGTATGGTCCCTTTTACAGGCAGGAGCAAGGATACAACCCTAGTCAAGAATAAGCCTACACCCGTAGGGTTCAAAGTCTGGGTTATCGCCCGAAATGGCCTCTTTATTCGGTGGCTGTGGCATGTAAAGGCATCACCATATACCGCTGTTATCATCGAGCTGCCAAAGAAGAAGAAGAAGCCGGCTGTAGAGCCGCAACAGGGGAAGAAGAGAGAGGGAAAGCCCAAGGAGACTGTGGCCCTCAGCAATACGGCAGGAGTCGTCATTCACCTAGTTAATATGCTGCCGAAGCAGATATATTATGTCTTTATGGATAACCTCTTCTCCTTGCCTAATCTCTTCCGTGCCCTTCGAGAAGCCGGTCACGGAGCTATAGGCACAGCCTGCCCTAACTGTGGCATCACTAAGGAGCTTAAAGTTGCAAAAGGGAAGGATAAGGCAGGTGCCTCAGGCTTTAAGTATAATGAAGTAGAGTCGATCCCTATAATAGATGACCTCGTACGCCTGAGGGACTTATTTACATGTAATTCCCTTATTAATTCGTCCTTCTTAGGTTGCTTAAAATCGCTTGGAAGGATAACAGCCTCGTGTTATTTCTCTCAACTGTATACAGTAGTGCTGATGACCAACGCACGCCAAAGAGAAGAAGGAAGCCTGCTAACAAAGGGGCACAATCCAAGCCGATACAGGAGACCTTTGGTTATGCTGCAATAAAGGTTATTCCTATACCGGCTGTATCTGCTTCTTATAACGATGAAATGAATCACGTGGACCGAGGAGATCAGATAAGGTCCTATACAAGCTACGAGCACCGATTTCGCCGTGGCCCGTGGCAAGCGCTCCTTTGGTCCTTCCTTCTCGATATAACACTTGCGAATAGCTTTATTTTGCAGCTTAAGACCTTACAGCCGCGGTGGCCGCCTTATAAGTCCCTCGAGAGCTGGAAGAGGTGCATTTCTGACGCCCTATTCATCAAATTTGGCCAAGAAAGTGGCGCAAGGAAGAGATCTAGGTCAGGGAAAGAGGAGGACTTGAACGATACTCAATCACGGCAAAACCATCTGCAAAGGGATATCAATCATGTCAATAGGGGGATATTCTCGGATTGCCTTGCTTGCAAAGGCTTCAAGTAGGGGCAGCCTTGACCCTTTAAAAAGAGGAAGGTTGAAAAGAGCTTCTTTTTGCAGCCGATAACAGGTAATGCATAAAGTCGGCACCGAGGAGGCTTAGGTAGGCAGACCTTGTACGGCTGTAAAGTCTGTGAGGTAGCGATTTGTAACAATCAAAACTGCTGGGACTTTTACCATCATACAAATTAGTATGTGTAGAGAAGTACCGCTAGTTTGATATATTTTGATTGGTCTGATACCCCTGTCGTGACCCCGCCTAAGGGCTGTGGCACTCAAAGGGATACACCTTAAATCCGGTTCTTAAAAACCTCTTTAAAAATCCAAACTAAGCCTAAAATGGCCACAATTTTAGTAGCATATATATAAGTCTTAAAATAAGCTATTCTATCTTTTTAAAAAATCTAACAAAATCCTATATAGCTATAAACTTTAAAATATATTTACACTGTAAAATATACTGTATAATTAAGCTTTTCTTTACAAAGGAAATTTTCTAAAAATGTAAGAAAAATATATAATATAGCTATTACTATATTATTACTAAAAATACTTTTTTTATATTTTTAGCTATTTTATTCAAGTTTTAAATTACTATAGGGTAAGCTATTTTTAGCTGTACAGTGCAGTGCGTCGCATGCTTATCTGCGTCGCATACTTATCAACTACGTTATCTCTTTGAGTGGCACAAGGCATCAAACAGGTCACGACAGGGGCCTAGAACCAATCAAAATTAGTCAAACGAGGGGTACTTCTACACACACCTAATCTAGCGTGTGATAGAGGTACCAACAAGTCTCATTGTTACATATTGCTACATCACACACTTTGCAGCCGTATTGGCTATACGCACCTCGTGCATTTCCTGATATCGGTTGGAGATAGCCTCCTTTTGCCTTCCTTTTTTTAAAGGGTCGAGGCCGCCCTTGCCGGCAGCCTTTGCAGGCTAGGCAGGGCGAATAGCTGCCTCTATAGACATGGTTGATATCTCTTCTTAGGTGTTTTTGCCGTGCTTCTGTATCTTCAATGTCTTCTTCCTTCCCTGACCGGCTTCTCTTCCTTGTGCCGCCTTCAGCAGCATATATGTTGAAAAGGGCATTGCAAATACACTCCTTCCAAGCTTGTAGCGTGCTGTAGGGCTTCCAATAAGGGTGCCGGGTCTTCTTCTGCAAAATGAAGCTATTCGCAAGTGCGACTTCGAGGAGGAAGCTCCAAAGCAACGCCTGCCACGGACCGCGGCAGAATCGATGCTCATACGTTATATAGGACCTTATCTAATCACCGCGGTCAACGTGATTCATTTCATCGTTATACTAAGCGGCAACAGTAGGTATAGGGATCATCTTGAAGCTATCCCCATTGAAAATCTGCTGCAGCTGTTGTGCCTCTGCCTTCTTGCCTCTCTTAGCCGGCAGCTTCCTCTTTTTTAGTGTGCGCTCGTGAGAGGCGCCGCTATGCACAGTTGAAAGGAAGAGCACCACGCCGCTATCCTTCCAAGCGATTTGGATGACCTAGGGGGAATAAAAAGGGACGAGGATTTTGATGAATTTGGTGGTGAAAAATCAAGCAGCTGTCTGACGAGAACTTCACGTACCCTGCAGGTACTAGCGTGGTTAGTCAGCTAAGTGGGGCGAGTGACCTGTTGATGCCTTGTGCCACCCAAAGAGATAGTT